TGATTATGTGAGAAATGAAGAAGTGTTAATTAGAGTCAGTGAGCAGAGGAATATCCTACACGAAATAAGAAAACGGAAGGCTAATTGGATTGGTCATGTTTTACGCAGAAACTGCCTTCTAAAAGAATTTATTGAAGGAAAGACAGAGGGGCGGATAGAAGTGACAAGAAGACGAGGAAGAAGACGTAAGAAGATGCTGGATGACCTTGGGGACAGAAGACGATACTGTCATTTGAAGGAGAAAGCCCTAGATCACATTAAGTGGAGGAATTGTTTTGGAAGAGACTGTGGACCTGTCGTCTGACAGATTACTGATGATGATGATCAATAAATAACGGATTGGGAAGGATGTGGTAGGAGTTGTTTTAATTTGAGTACTATGCTAATTAGTATGAGGGACCTGAGGAAAACCACAAAAAAAAACTCAGCCATGATGCCAGTCTGTAGGCTGAGACTTGAATCCAAGGGTTCTTGGACATGAAGTAGGAATGCCAAACACTGAACTGTTATGTTCAGTTTGACCTGTATAAATCCTGAAATAGTTCATTATGTACTATATAATATTGTTCACGTCTCACCTCTGTAATGTCTAAACATGTTCCCAAGCACTTTCTTTTCGAACACCTGCTCTTCTCTGTTCTTTATAACTGACCTTCAGATTGCCTCATCATAGCAGAAGTTGCCTGCATTAATTTTTTTTATAGACCTCCTCAAATATTTTTTAAAGATAAGTGCCAAAGAAATGCTTTATTCTTACAGAGAGCAATTTTATGAACCTGGAAGTGGGCACCAGGTGACAGTGCCTGGAGATCCTGTTGGAAAATTACAGTCTGCCATATTGCGCTGGGAATATCGAGCAAACCCACTGAACCCCTTGACATGGAGATTTATTGCCACTCCTCGCATCTATATTAGCTGGATGCGGATAGAAAGTTTAGAGGAAAGAGACAGGTTTGTCTCACTTTGAATACATATTTTAGTTAATTTTATAATGGGACTTCAACTGGCAGCCAAAGGTTGAAATTTTCTTACACTAAATGCGAGTTATTTCCTAAATCAAAATTCATTCAATGTGAGAAAATGATACACTGTTTACACTGGGGTTTGAATGGGGCCAGTAAACACATTCACTATGGGATTTCACTAAATGTGGGAGTACTTAGTTGGAATTTCACTGTATATAGTATACAGAGTGTAAATAAATATATGTTACAATGCTCTGTGGTAGATAGATGGGTTCAATTTGATCATATTTTCTTAATACACTCATGTCCATAAACGCTTCCTTTTGGCACTAAAGGTCACAAAAGTTTCAGAGAGGAAGCATAAGTTTTAGGGGATGTTATCAATGTTTTACAATATAAAAGTTGCTCAAAATGGGAGCTGCCAACTTCATTGCATGTTCTGCACCACCTGGCTATGTTATGCTGAACACTTTGAAAGATTCCCAGAATTTCCTGGATCTTTCCAGTTGCTACTGCAATCCTTGCCACAAAATCATGTTGTGTCTCCACTGGAGTCCCATACACCAGGCTTTGCATGTATCCCCAGAGAAAGAAATCCAATTAAGTCAAGTCAGGGGAGCAAGGAGGCAAGGTTATTGGGCCTCCACATCCAATCCATCTGCTACAAAAGGTTTCATCCAAATACTCATGGATGAGTATTAAATTGAGTATTGATTATTGAAAATTGTTAGAATAATGGCTGGTGTTAAACCAAGAGAATCATGTAAAAATATCTTCAAGAGGCTAGAGATCTTAACTCTCCCATGTGAATACATATTCTCCTTAATGATCTTCATTGTAAAAAACCAAGAATTTTTTCCAACCAATTCTACAATACACAATGTCAACACAAGGAATAAAAATCAGCTTCACAGACCAGTTGCCAGCCTCTCTTGTTTCCAGAAGAGTGCATATTATACTGGCATTAAAATCTTCAACAATCTACCACCAAATATCACAACTCTTATAGATAAACAGGGACAATTTAAAGTAGCACTAAAGAGATACTTAATTACACACTCCTTTTACTCTGTTGAGGAATTTATGCTTCCAAACAACATAAAGTGTATGTAATGTTTTCTCTTGTTTGGAACACAGGAAAAAAAAAATCTAGTATATGTTAATGTATAGATTTATGATGGATATTTTACTACTTTTGTGAAATCCTTACTATTTATCTGAACTTGAATTGTGCATGTATATATGTATTGTATGATTTTTTACTAATTCCACATCCGGTAGGTCATCTGACTAACTCATGGATCTATGGAATGCTATGTATGTATGTATGTATGACATTAGTGCAGTGTACTGGGGCGCCATAGTGCTTGAACCACATTTCACCACAGACTGTGAAAGGCACCACTTCCAGCAGCTCTGGTAAGGTCTCTTGGAGAAATGTAAGGTGCCACCAGTAAGCCACAGAGGTAAGAAGTGAGGGCATCCTCCTTCACATTTCAGAGGCCCTAACGTGTAAACAGACTGTTTCCAGACATGGGTGTGTTAACAATATATGATCAGATTGAACCCATCTATCTACCACAAAGCATTGCAATATATATTTGTTTGCACCCTGTACATATGTATCATATTATTCAACCCAAAACTGTGATCAGTAAATGCAGAAAAAGTAAGTAAAGTAAAAGTAAAGCTATCCCTGTACCAGGCCGTGAAGGCCCATAGGGTTGTGAGACGTTGAGGGTCCCACATTATCTAGACAATTGGCTCAAAGATGGTGGTAAGGTTGTCAGCCTTACGCACCAGCCGCGCTTTACTCACCAGGAAAATTATTTAATTAATTCCTGGTACTCATTTCTGTTAAGAGGCTGAGTAAACCTCAGGGCCTAGTGCAGCTGGAAGGATTAGGTAAACTGAAAAAATCCAATGACCTCATTGGGACTTGAACCCGCAACCTTCCGGCTTGTAGCATAGCCCCTCAACCACTACGCTAAATGCAGAATATAACATTAATGTTTCAGTTTGACTATCTGCCCTGACGATGTACCTCTCACAGCATGGAAACCTCTGAGACTGAGCAAAAGGCCAAGACAAACCAGTTGCGACCTCAAAATAATAAGTAAACATAGGGCAGAATGTGACAATGTTGTCCACTGATCTTCCAAGTAAATGAGGAAAATCAACATCTAAGAATCTGCTACAGAACAATTGCATTTTGGTAGTTTGATGCTTTGTACTTCCAGCAGTGTATGCACTGAAGAACTGAAAGCTGTTCAATAAATATCATGTAATACTCACTTAAGTCTGCTTACCTCTACAACATGTTATACTATATTTACTATACAATCATCTAATGAAAAAAAATACCAATACAATATGTTCTTCAATAACAAAACATGTTTCAACCCATATGGGGTAATCATCAGGAGTATATCTCATTAATTCATCAGAATAATCATTCAAAATGTAACATTAATACACTTTAATATTAATAAAAACCATGTATAATGTTGTGTTATCCCTAATAGCATTTGGTCTAAAAAAGTTATAATTCTTATTCTAAGATCCATATTTTATTTATTTTTGCACCCCATTGTATTCCAGTTGTCTCAGGTATTGTATTGTGTCATTTCACCATCCACAGAATAACAGCTTCTCCTTTAAAAGACATAAACAGTAAAAATAAAGTGTCATATTTCTGTGATGGTGATTAAAATTAATTATATGGAATCCAGTCCTTGAGGAGAATAGTAACTCTGCTACTCAAGAATTTCCCTGACACTTTATGGAACACAAATATTTGTTACTGTGTTCATTAAAGCCTGCTACTGGTCACTATCCTCATCCAGATTACTGCAGTCCACACCACTACAACCTATTTCTCTAAGATCAATTTTAATATCACCCTCCCACTTACATATGGGTCTTCCTAGTCATATCTTTCCTTCAGGTTTTTCTATCACTTCTGTATGTATTGCTCTTCCCTCCTGTGCATACTACATGCCATGCTCATCTCATTCTCCATGACTTGATCACTTCAATTACATTTGGGGTAGCATACAAGTACACATCACCATTCTCATCCTTTTACCACATTAATTCTGGGCTGGTAACCCTTCTTACATTCATTTATTTATCTAAACAAGTCTCTAATGTTCTTGTTCTTACTGTGTGTTCCATGCTCATTATTTTTGTCTTTCAGATATTCCTTTTTTGTTCCTGGAATGTCTGCCAGCTTCATGTCTTACGTTGAAAAGATAATCCCAATTAATTTGCCTGGGATTCCGTAACCATTGCAGTTTGGTTTCTTGCTTTGCTCTAATAGTTCTGAAAATCATTTGTCAAAAAACAGCTTAAATTACTTCAGTTCTGAATGACCAAGACTCTCTTTGGCTGAAATGTTCATGTTCTCTGTCATAGTTTCCCCACGTGCCATTGATATCCACATCATTATCAAAGTTTTCCAAAGCTGTAAACCTATCTGAGATTTTAATCTGATACTGCTGTTTGCCATCTACCTCATTTAGTTTCTTGAGACTGAATCTCTCAATATCAAATTTCTGTGTTGCTCACTTACTTACTGCCAGACTCCCCAATGTTTGCCGCCACCAGATAGTGCTTGGTATCATGGTCCACTTCCCTGAAAAATCTGACATCAAGTACACTTGCATGCCATCTCATATTAAAATATGGTCCAACTGACTGCATCTTTCCACAAGGAGATGTGCAAGTAAATTTATGAATGTTACAGGATGGGAACATTGTACTTCTGACAATTAGATTTTTTGGATATGGTAAAGTTAGCTGCTCTAACTCCAGTATCATTACTAATTTCATGTAAAATTTTATTCCAAATTATTTGTTTGAAAATATCTTCTCTACATATTTTGGCATCGGAATCTCCTAATAAAATTTTCATGTGGTACTTTGGGAATTTATTGAATATAATGTAATGGATTTGCTCAAAGCGTTGCTAGGTAAGAGACTGGAAAACACATATACCAAAAAGTGCACAATAGTGTGTCCATTGCTAGGCAATGCATGGGTGGACATACCTGACAACAATACATGATGTCCACTGTTGAGTAGTGGTTTTCTGTGTAGTTTCTCCTCCCACTACTATGACCATGCCTAGTCTTCAGGTCCACCTACATCTATCCATCACGTGATCAAAGAATCAGATCGTTTCCTCACATCTTTGTTCAGCTATGAATTAACTATGTGTATTAACACTTTGCAGACGGCGCACGCATTAATATGTTTTTCGCTTTTAAATGTGGTGGACCGGTCTTGTATTAATACGTTTTTAGAACACGATAGATTGCAACACACTATACATCGCTCTGACGCCACCCAGCTTGCACGTAGCTGCCTGATAAGCCTCTGGAATGTTTATGTGAACTCACTGTAACTGTATGCCCCTGCAAAGGAAAATAAATGCCTTTATTTCTTAATGCTGTATGCAGCAAGCTGTCAGTGAGTAGTGCAATATGCAAACATACAATCCTGGCAAACTTACAAAGTATGGCCTACTTGTTCGTGTAGTTATTGAAAGCACTTCAGGCTATATTGGAAATTTAGAATTTTATTCTGGTGATGGAAAGAAATTACAAGAAACTAGTCTTTCCGTTTTTGAACCCTATCCTGATCAAAATTACCATGTCTATCAAGACAATTATTATAACAGTGTGGCAACTGCAGAACACCTACTTTAGAGAAAAGTATGTGTTTGTGGAACAATTAGGGTGAACAGAGGCCTTCCTCCAGATCTGAAAGAGGAATGTAAATCTCTGAAATATGGTGAAACCACATTCAAGAGGAAGGGGGATATTCTTCAGTCCTGGAGGGATACTCGTGTTGTGAATATGATTTCCACAATTCACAATTTGAGCATGGTTGATGTTCAAAGGAGACATGGACAGGTAAAGAAGCCTGTTTGTATTTCCGAGTATAATATGTTCATGAGGGGAGTTGATAGAGCCGAGCAGTACTTGGCCTATTATTCTCTTCCTCGGAAAACAGTAAAGTGGACAAAGACAGTTGCCTTGTGGCTTATAAACTGTGCCATTTTCAATTCATTTTTAGTTTTCAAAAATTTAAACCCTCATTCAAAATTGAAATATAAGGCATTTCTGCTGAATGTGGCAAAAGCCTGGGCTACACACCACACGGTGGTAGAAGAACCAGCGGCAGACACAGTCTTAGTGCGACCGGGCCCGTCTTGTGTATTGCCACTTCACAAAGGGGAATGTTTCCAGAAATATCACACTATGAAGCACTTCTAGGAGCATTGGTAAGTGTTCTCCAAAAATTGTAGTTCATAAAATTAATTAGGAAATTTTATATTAATTTTTAAAGTGAACTGTGCACAAGTTAGGGTAGCAGGTATAAAAATGCCGGTCCCCAGGGTGATTTAAACATTCAAATCGCCGGTCGGCAAAGTGTTAAGTAGAGAGGCAGAGATTTTCCTTAATGTTTATAAACAGTATGCTTTCTGCATAATATATTTTTCCCATGTATTGTTTATATTGCCCTGTAGGTGTGAAAATTATCGAATATGTTTCACTGACATGGATGTATGGCAGTCTGAACATCTTTGTTTGTAGATCACATATAACTTTTATTAATTGTAAATACTTCCAAGTGTAAAATAATGACCAGAAGAATATTAATGTAAAACCTTCAATGATTACACTAAGGAATTTATAAGTTGTACCCCTTATGATCTTATTGGGGTTCAAAAAAACTGGGTTATTAAAAAATATATTATATTGGTAGTTGTTGTAACTGGATGATTATTGCTAAATATAGTAGGAACATGGTGTAAGCTTGACATAGGCATAGGGGTTTTGTGCTATGTCTGTTCTTAACGAGAAGTTTCAGAAAGACAAAACAGAGTGAAAGGAGAACATTTCAATTTTCTGATTTTCTTAAACACAAATTTGTGATCCTATACTGCAAAATTATTTACAGAAACACTATGAACAAAAAGACTTGGAATGTTAGGAATTCAATAATTGACTTAGGTTCTTATTCGCTTCTGTTCATTTATAGCCCAATAAAATAAGCATGATACAAACCTTCATTTAGAAGCCTATAACAGCATCTGTTCAATTTTTCTCTAATTACTTCACTCAACAGATGTCAGCTTGATTATTTCTCTTTTATTAAGAATATACCCAATTTTGAAGGCTCTAGGAGCATTCCTGGAAAGGGTTCCTATGCAGAAGGTAATTTATTTAGTCTTGATTTATTTAACAATTGCTTTCAATAGCTCAAATTATATAGCATCAAATAATGAAAAAATGAAAGCTGTATGTGTAAGATATTAAGCACGAAGCGTTAACGATTTGTATGTGTCAGTGATTTACATTTATCCATACCCAAATGTATCACAATTAATTATAATGAAACGCTGCAAACGAGGCATACGAAAAGGACGGTACTCCAGCAGATACTGACAGAAGATCTGATCTTCCTTGAAGATGGAGGCAGCATATTCCTCCAAAATATTGGTATCCATCTTCACTGCATTATGTCACAAACCAGAAAGCTACACAGTGAACACTCACTGCCATGAAAACCTCAAATCTTATAGTTCACGTATGTTCCTAGCATTGTTTACATCCTGAAAATTAACCACAATGTGGGACCTACTAATAAGAATTTAAATATATGTCATTACATTAATAAAACTTACACTATGTAACACAAGGAAATTGTAGTTTATTATGGAACTGCTCCACTTTGGCACATTTCAGTGATCAATCCTGAAATCTCACCACAGTGAACCGATGGTACTCCCATCTTCACCCTACCACCTACAACCATCGTGAAGTCGGGAGCGGTTCATCGTCACAGGCTCTAGCGTCATGTTTACAATACTCCCTAAGGTTGTCGCAGGGAATCCAAGCTCGCAGCGAAGGGCCTTACTGAAGTTAATGACTGACCAAATAACAATAACAAGATTCAATAAACACAAACACAATATAACTCACTATAAGAATATACAAAATATATAACCCAACAGACATGGCTGATTTGCCCTATACTGATCAGCACTTCACGGCATCAACTCAGCTACATGCCCAGTTCCACTGGCCCACCGACATTATGTACGGAAGTCACTTCCTGATCAGCCACAGGCGGCCGCAAGGGAAATAAATATATCCAACAAAACAAGTAAGCCACAGGTGGCCCCAAAGAAAATATATACATAAAAATGCTAACTAAACCATTCACATATTGCTGCTATACTTATCCCGATAGCTAGCGACTGCAAGTAACCCCAATGTCTGAGGCCAGCCCCCAACTATGCCGAAAACAGATTTAGAAAAAAACCCCACTGAATTGAAATTTATAAATTACTCCCGCTGGTCCGCCAGATGTCCTCGTCCAAGTGGATCCACTTATCAGACTAACTCCTCTGATCCCAAACATACTTATTTCCTAGACACAGGGGTAGAAAGGGTGGGGAAATCATGTGGTATTGGGGAAGAGGAGGANGGAGGAGGGGGTAAGTTCTAGGACCTCAGGCGAAGGGTAGCGTGGGAGATATGGCTGGAAGCCATTACGTCAAAGAAGGAGCCATTGCTTTAGCCCGGCTCAATAGCCCCCCCCCCCCGTTTCTTCTATCATTCCAGGAATGTCTGCTGCCAAGAAATACAAGAGGGTCCACAATCTCAGAGTACCGTAGCACATCCACTGTTCAGGTTCAGAACCTACAGTTCGACAGGAACTGTACCGCTGCTCACTAGGGTCCATGAACACCCTTGGCTCCATGGGATGCTCATTCACTTCATGCACCGTTCATTGCACCAGGGTATCATTTGCCCACATACTTCGCCTGAGTCCAGCATCCACGTCTCGCCTGTACTTGGCACAAATACCCCATGCCCGCCAACCTTCTTGGTTCAGTCATCCATGGCTGACAGGAGATGTATTACATTCCTTGGCCCTTCTGCCGCAGTCCATACAAGGCCCCCTATGGACCGCAGCACAGGGACTGACAAATCCAAGATTAGCATGGTGACAGGGCTCCAACGGTCAATGGTGCAGCACTTCTGCTGACTGACCCCTGGGGCAGGTGGGGTCCTCCGTTGCATCTCCACTCTCACGCAGCCTAGGGTAGGGTGTGAGGAGAAGGAATATCCCCTGCTCGGAAGGAAAACCAGACTTACAAGCATATCAACATTGCCTTACTCAGGCCATGCAGCCTAACACGAGCTATACATCAGACAAAGGCCACTAACATATATACATATATAACAAAGGTACCATTATTCCAGCGAAAAATGCCTCTTCAACTGCGAGACATGTGCTCTGCGAATAATAACCCCCGTATTGGGGTTTGCCAATAACAGTGACAGGAGAAACAAACCTTGCTATTTTCAGTGGTACTGACGACTTAAGATCCAATTTGGCAGAGCGCTGCTGTGACCTTGAGCTAAGCGGGTGCAACCTCAACAGGACTATGTCGCCCACCCGAAACTCTGCCTGCCTCCTGCCCTTATTGTATCTCTCTGCCACCCAGGCGCAAGCCCTTTTTAAATTGCTTAACGCGGATTCCCAGAATTGATGAATGCTTTTTGCATCCTTACCTAAGTCTAATTCGGCCAATTCCCATTTCAGCCCTAGGTGATGGTTTAGATCCCTACCCAGGAATAGGGAAGCAGGAGTCGCTGCAGTCGACTCGTGCCATGCTGAGTTGAATGCAAGGGCCAGGGATGCAAGGTGGTCATCCCAGTAAGTGTGCTGCGAGTGATGGTAGATGGCCAAAGCCACCTTCAAGTTTCAGTTGAAACGCTCAACTTGGGAGGCCTGGGGATAATATGGTGAGGTGGTAATGTGCCGAATTCCCCAGGAGAAACACAAATCATAAAAAGTTTTCAATTTGAAAATGGCTGCATTGTCCGAAACAACTGACTGAGGGATCCCGAAGGATGCAAAAAACTTTTCCACCAGGCAGGTTTTAATCACTTCTGTGGAAATCTGACGGACAGGGTACATGCTCACGAACTTGGAGAACCTATCAAGAACTACTAAGATTGCAATATTCCCTTTTTGGCTTCTAACAATAGGCCTGACAAAGTCAATGAAGACTCGTTCCATGGGGCGCGACACTACCTCACTACTGTGGAGGCCAACCCGAGAGCCAGGGGCTGGCTTAGCCGGCCGACAATCTTGGCAATACGGTTTAAGGTTTAGGTCACCCCCAAATGGGCGCTCAGGCAGGAACTATGAAAATATTCCAAAACCATCAGTCGCAGTTCCTCTGGGAGAAGGTAGCTTTTAGCCTGTGCTCGCGACGTATGGTATACCAACGCGCCATTCAGTAACTTGAACTGCTTCACCGTTGGTTCCCCTTGGGTCAACTTACAATAGACACTCCTACAAAAGGAATCCTTCTTTTGGTGCTCAGTGATAGATTGAAAGGCTTCCAGAAGCTGCCCAAGAACTAAGCCTGAGAACGTCGCCCCTTCCGACGGCTGCTCATACTGCCGAGTAAGGCAGTCCGCCACAACATTCTCTTTGCCACTTATATGACTGACGCAAAATTTAAATGGCGCCAACTGGAGGACCCAACGCCTGACTCAGCCTAGTTCCTTTGCATGGCGCAAAAGCCAGGCCAAGGCTTGGTTATCTGATAAGAGGGCGAACTCCTTGTGCTCCAAATAATTCCTATACTTCTCACCCCCGTAAATGATGGCCAGACACTCTCTCTCATAAACAGAGTATCTGCGCTCCGCCGCCTACAACAAACGGCTGGAGTAGGCAATCGGCGCTAAACTTTCGCCGTTCCCTTGATGGAGAACGGCGGAGATGGCGACATCACTAGCATCACAAACGAGAGAGAACTCCAAGGAGAAATCTGGAATTTGCAACACCGGGGGAATCACTAGCACCTCTTTGAACTGCTGAAACGCCGATCGTTGGGGCTCCCCCCACACAAACCGAGCGTTTTTGCGTTTTAAAGCATGGAGGGGTTCCGCCAGTTGGGAAAAGCATTTTATGAACCGGCCGTAAAACCCGGCCATCCCCAAAAATCTCCGAACCTCCTTAAGGTTTTTGGGCGGGGGAAACACCCTAATGACCTCGACCCGTTCTGGCAAGATCCGAATCCCATCTGCCGAAACCAAATGACCCAGAAACGGAATTTCCCTCTGCGCCAGGCGAAGCTTGTACCGGTTCAAGGTGAAGCCCGCCTTCTCCAATCTTGCAAAAACCTGCCTCAGGTGCAGCAAGTGCTCCTCAAGGGAGCAGGAATAGACCACCAGGTCGTCCATTAAGTTATAAACAAACTTAAGCTTGAGGTCTTCAAATAACGTATCCACCACCGGCGAGAGCAGTTGGCACCCGACACTAATCCCATGGGTAACTTCGTGAATTCGAACAGCCCAAAGGGGGTACAGAAGGCCGTAGCCTTCTGGCTCTTGGCCAACAAGGGACTCTGGTAATAAGGTGAGTTCAAATCTAACACCAAAAAAATGGTCGCCTTGTCAAAATTCGCGAAAGCACATTCAACAGAGGGCATCAGGAACACGTCAAAAATGATCTTTTTATTCAGGAGGTGGTAGTCTACCACCATCCTGTGACCACCCGAGGGCTTGGGAACCAGAAACGCCGGACTGGCATATTGCGAGTAACTCTTTCAAACGACTCCTTTATCCATCAGTTCTTGAACGATCTTGCGTAATATCCGCAAATGAGGGGGCGAACATTGGTAAGGCCTTGAGCGCACCGGAACGTTATCGCTCAGGTCTAGATGGCAGACCATCCCTTCTACCATGCCGAGCCCATCCGAAAATAAGGCTGGAAAACTGCACAAGAGATTGTCAACATCCCCATACTTGGCTGGCCCTGCCAATAAGGATCCGCACCCAAGACCGGCCAAGACTTCTTCAGCACATGGAAATTTCTGTGACTTGCACTTACCAAGATCGAAGGCCTCAAAGTCGAACTCTTGCTCGGGATGAAAAAGAAAACTATATTGGCAATCGATGAAGTCCAGATGCACCTTGGCACGGGCCATGAAATCCACCCCCAAGATGCACGGAATGGGGGAATCCACGAGGACCAAAAAACAACATTTCCATGAAAAGGAACATATTTTGATCCCCAGCACTGCGATCTCCGAGATCACACTGCAATGTAACTACATATAAAGGATATTTATGAGATCAAGTGTTTTAAATAGATTTATTTGATATGTACTGGGTAACATTAAACAATCTCTGAAAAAAAGTGAATCAAAATAATAACTTTGCATCATCATTTTATAGAAGTAACCAATCACATATCATGCCCAAATATGATCACGTCAAGCATTTTCTTGTCAATCAAAATAGTAATTTGTATCTCTGAGGAGACTGGAGCTATATGTAGGAGAGTATATATTAACAAAGATCATGAGGAAAATGAAATTGCACTTGAAATGGTTAGTACATCAAAAGCTTCACACATACTCTGAAGCAGTCCTTGATACCAAGCCCATGGATAAAAATTCAGACCTCACAATAAATACATGTAGCCACTCACTATGCTCATTTACATTAATGTGTTCAGAAGTTATTCCTCCTTACTGCTTATAAGTAAGACATTTACAAGTTTTCTTTTATTCATATTCGAAGCACACAGTACAGTGACCAGAAATCTTTGTACTTTCACACAGTAATAGGCAAAGAAAGATAATTCAAAATCTGTTACCATGATAAGCCACTGAATATGTTTTATAAAGGAACACTTCATTTTATACCACACAGTCATAAATTCGAGGCTCATTTGAAACGAATATTATTTCTTCTGAAGCAAGATACAGTTGCTATAACCCCAAACTGTTGTGCTTTAGTTTCATTTAATAAAATGTATTACTATGGACTCTGGAAAACATCCCACAACTATATGCATAGATCAACAAACCAATCAATGGAATGAAAATCAAACAGTGAATGTACACTTTCATAAGCAATCATTGGTGGACCTTTACCTTCAGCAACTCAGTACATCTTACAACATAAAGACAGTATATGTTGCACCATATACAACTACAAAACTACCCAAAAATAGAATTTCCATTAAAAATTCACGACTACCTGAAATATTTAACCAAAACAAATGACTGCAGTTGAGCCTAATCTTCACGCCAACCTGCTACAGATTCTGCTATTCTTGAGACATGTTAGACACAAAACTGGCGACATGCTTAGAAGAACAGGTTTTACAAATTACTGATATATTACCAACGATTTACTGTACTATCATGGTAACGGTATCTCCCACTAATAAACATACACTTGTAGAAAGAGAGGCATTTCATATATATAGACAGGACATCATTATGAAGCATACACATGGAAACAACAGGAATGAACCATTCAACAGCAATCCCATTACCTCAGCACTGATGTGATCAACAACTGTTTATAAATCTCTGCCAACTTCATACATACCTTCTTGACCATCATGTAGCACAAGGTATTGTGCATGGAAGTTAGCCTTTGCAGTGAACCCAGCAGTTCTACAGAACTAGAGATCAGTGTTGCTTAACTAGATATGCAGAGAACTTCATTTTACTACCACCACTCCTTCTGAACAGCTGCATCTTTGGATCAGATTCCTGTTTCTTTCAACCTCCATCATATTAGACAGGAAGTCTCAAGTAAGTATGTACACATCTTAGAGATTCATATTTCCATTTGTAGTTATCATAAATGAGTCTTCTTTAAATTATCATATCATACATGTAGCTATTCCCTGCTCATTCTGGAAGCAAACATGACCATCTGCAAAATGTTAATTGTACGTCAGTCTGTTGCTACTGGGCATTATGTCTCCAAGAAGAAGTGGTTAACTAAGTTCCTAATTTTAATATTAATAATCAAAATAAGATGGCAGAACAGGAAGAAATATATGCTTAAGCAAACCACAACCAGTAAGTTTCCATCTTACACCTTCTAAAGTACAATACATCCAACTCCGTGTCACAAAACCTGTCCTAACAAAGAAAAACTACAACAATTTTTTGCAAAAGTGACTGCAAACAATTCTTGATAACTACTTATAAAATATGCTTATAACACAATGTCCATACTTAACACTAAGTTGACAAGAAAGACATTTTCTGTTCATTACATGAAACTGTCTGCAAATGACAGAGTAAGTCAACAACACATGTTTGTGGCCAGAATCAGCCATTGCACTTGCTATCAGTGGGATGTGTGTCTTTTGAATGATTCTTGCCCATCTGCAGGAACTGTTCAAATGCTACTTGAATTTCTTCATCCATTTCATCATCTGGCTCCCAGACATTATCCCCTTCCTCCCTGCAATAAACACAGGTATAATAAACATTGCATGCATAAACCACACATGAAGCATGAGCAACTGAATCACATTTAATTTGCAGCGATTTAATATTTTTACTTACCTATGATTCAGTCACCCTAGATGTAACACATATATGTCAGCACAAAACATCCTTTATTAAAAATTTTCCTCTGGTTAGCATTCAAATAAATTGAAGAGTCGCATCTTCACGCTTATGACACCATGCAGTCATGCAGGTGATTACCAATGCTTTGCAAAAACCTGCTGCCTCCGTCTCCAGAGCAGAATAAAAAATGAGGTATCAAGTTCTTCTGAAATGTTGGTAAGCGCCTACACAACTGCATGGTATCATAATATTGGAGATCACAATCTTAATTTTCACTGCTGTGAATATGTCAAATCTCAGTCATGTAACTGTTTCAAGAGCTACCTCAACTGAAGATTTCAATTTCCTTATGCGTTACTTCCAGTTATTATTATGAAAAGTTACATGACTAACTCCATGGAGCAGAGTGTTTGAGAAGCCAATGGTCACCCTGCCATTCAGGAAGTTCCCTGCCTTTACTGGAACCTGAAGGTTCCTTATCAGGTTCACAACAAGGCAACTAAAAAGTTATATCTAGTGCAACATAAAACTAGACACGTTCAAACAACTGAAGCAGACGATTACAAGAGGACATATTTTTGTAACTGGTTTTTGTGGGCAGTGTACGAATGTGTTCTTGATCCAAAACTTAAATTTTTACTGATGAAGATTGTTTCTGTTTGAGTGGGTATACCAGTGCTCAGAACAATAGGTGTTGGAGCAGTATTAATCCAAGAGACATTTAAAGCACCCCTTCATGATCAGAATATATGTGTGTAATGTGCCATGACTGCTACACCAATAATAGGACCCCTATTTTTAACATGCTATTATACAAGCTAGAAGGTTGTGGGTTCAAGTCCCGATGAGGTTACTAGATTTTTTTGATTGACCTAATCCTTCCAGCCGCACTATGGCCCTGGGGTTGACTCATCCTCTAACAGAAATGAGTACCAGGAATTAAATAAATAATTTTCCTGGGGAGTAAAGCATGGCTAGCGTGTAAGGCTGACAACCTTACCACCATCTTTGAGCCAACTGTCTAAATAATGTCGGACCCTCAACATCTCACAACCCTATGGGCCTTCATGGCCTGCCAAGGATAGCTTTACTTTTTTCTACTTTTATTAATTCAGAGCAGTATGTCAATGACATTCTTCAAACCTTCGTTGAGAGAATTGTGAAAGAAAAAGGGACATGGTTTTTAATACATGAGGGTGCTACAGCATACACTGCTAATTATTAATGTTTTCAACATATCAGACTGGTACGCCACAGATTGCAGTATGCTAGGTCTCCAGACCTGTGGTTTTCATCTGCAGGGAAACCTAAAAAAATAAACTGTATTCAAATAATCCCCACACACGCAGGATGAAATTATGCACAACATCTATGAAACCATTATTGAGGGCAATGAACTCAAAGTATTACCAATCTCTTCAAGAGACTTGACACTTGTTTAAGAAGAGAAGTGAAACATTTTAAGTATTAACTTTAAAGAATGCAGTCTGTGTTCATAATGTGCAGCATATTAGCCATGACTCAAAACTCTTGTCAGCAGGCAAGGGTTGAAGTTCCAGCTAATAGGCTAACAGTAAGAGACTCGAGCAATTTCGCCCTACAAGAAACTCTGTACAGCATCAAATGATGTAATTATTGGTGAATGATGAATTGGAAAGAATACTAAAGTAGCGATATTATATTTAAGCATCCTGTTGCACTCTACACGATAAATGATACAAACTCCATCCCAAGTGCAAACAATATATATTATATGTCTTTGATCTTGCTCTCTTCTACACTACATGTTTCGGCCTCTAACGGCCATCATCAGGTGTATACTCTTACGTTGCTGCCACACTGAACCCAGTCTAAAATTTAACATTTAAAAAACACATTGTTATTTTCTTCGTTATTATCAACATCTACCTTGTTGATATCTGTCTGGTATGTAGATTATTTTGCACACGTCAATTTTACACGTAGTAAAGACAAGCAGGNGTGCAAAATAATCTACATACCAAACAGATATCAACGAGGTATATGTTGATAATAACGAAGAAAATAACAATGTGTTTTTTAAATGTTAAATTTTAGACTGGGTTCAGTGTGGCAGCAACGTAAGAGTATACACCTGATGATGGCCGTCAGAGGGCGAAACATGTAGTGTAGAAGAGAGCAAGATCAAAGACATATAATATATATTGTTTGCACTTGGGACGAAGTTTGTATCATTTATCAACTAAAGTAGCACTTGCCTGGATGGACTGAGGAAAACCACAAAAAACTACAGTCCATTACAGTCAGGACAGCTGGTGTCCCAACCAAGATTCAAACCAAGCTTCTCCCAAATACAAGCGTAAGATTGTTACACCTGCATTAACTTGCTTAGTTATATATATATAAAATTCATATTTGACAGTCACTCCACATCTGTCACTAAACACATGGGGGCACAGTTAGTCTCAAAGTGGTCAGAATTTTACTCTCAGTGATGAGTGATGAAGCTGTCAGTCTGGGAGAATTTTAATAAAAGAGTTTATATCTGCAATAAATGAATATCAAAGTGTATGAGGTATGGGAAAACTGAGTCCAGCTCAAGTACACCTTTCCACTACTGCCCACATTTCCACAGAGAAAAGCATGGAAAGAACTGGTAAACACTGATCTAATTCCAATAACGTGCATATGACCACTCACCCATAATCATCATATTCCTCAGGGTCAGGAATTCGACAAACACTTTCTTGTAGAAACTGACTCTCTTCTTGAGTTATTATCTGTCCATCTGGTCCATAGAACACAGGCTCATTCTGCTGTTTCCAAGAACATATTTCCACAACAATGAATACAATTACCGGGTACATTTAAAATACGATTCTAAAGAAACAATGCAATGTATTTAACATACTTTCTGGAGTATAAGAAATTTTTCCTTGAATATGCTATCTGAAATGTGAATGCATCTTAATCTGTAGGTACAGGTTTCTTTCCCACAATTATCCCTCTAAAATTTGGACACATAGTATGCTAGTATGGTGACTATATCTTAAAACACTGCAAAAAAACACAAGTTACTTCAAATATAAAAATGTTAATGTTAAAAGCAACACATCCAAGATGGTAGGAAGGATACTCTCTCTGCACCTGATTCCTCTTGCCTTACCTTATGGCTCATTTTCATCAGATTCCCTAAGGATATGACATCAATGGAAAATATCCTGAAGCCATACATTCAGCAATGACAACATGATGGCTACAGAAACTTGGACAATTCTTTATGAACATTCACTGTTAAGGTTTTGTTTGTTTAACCCTTCCGCACCGACATCCGTGTGCTTCACCGACCCTTTAAATAATCGTATGCCACCGACATCTGTGCAGTTCACCGACCTGCGCAGTGTTAGCTTTGAAGGACGTTGCTGACAAAACGAGGAAAGATATTCCAATTTTCTTTTCAGGAGTACATAGATTAGGGTTTCATCTTTCTATTGGTATATGAGTTATTTATTTTGGACGAATTTTTAGCACGGTATTTTTATTTTGTATCGTTAGTGTAATAGTTCGTACTTTTGTCTCACTGCGCCTAGATTTCATTGAAATTTTTCAAATTCTAAGTAAGGAAAATGTATAAAACTATATATCTTTCGACTCTATGGTCTTTGCTTGTCTATATGAGTCACTCACTGAAACCCCAGACGAAGGTTTTCCTTGAATGGGTTGCTGTACAGTCTGCTGACACAATGAAGTAGTCAAACAAGAGGGTCCTTTTTTCTTGGAACCAAATGCAACCTAAGAAAATAAACTTACGAATGATACAGAAATCTATGATGTCATAACACTTTCTTCTCTCAGTCGCGCCATAACCATGGCCTCTACAAGTAGGAAAGTTTTACAGGGCGATGAACTAGAAGAGTTCCTTGCTCACGACTCGGAAGTTAGTGAGTTCGAATATTCGGATAGTAGTGAAAACAGTGATAATGAAATTGAAGATCAGGCTGTAGTTGATGCTATCCAAGATCTTAGTATTGAAGATGACGACGAAATAGTGGCGAGGGTTCCAGTGGCGGATTCAGACGAGAGTTATTTTTGGCAAAATATGGATAATTATGATGGCGTTCGCGAACGGTTTTCTGAAAATTCAGGCCCGAGAAATCAGTCTGTCAATGTGCTCGATATAGTACAGACATTTCTATTATTTTTTACTGAGGATTTTGTGAACAATATCGTTCAGGAAACAAACACTTATGCGCAACAATTTATATGTGGGAGGGTTTTTCCATTTAGATCTCCAGCTAGGCAGTGGGTACCAGTGACACTAAATGAAATGTATGTGGTCTTAGCCTTGTTCTTGCTGATGGGTATAGTCAATAAGCCAACTCTAAATTCATACTTTTCAACGAAAAGATTACTATACACTCCAGCATTTCCTGATGTAATTTCGAGAGACAGATTCCAGCTTATATGTAAATTTCTCCATTTCAATGACAATACTAAGAAAGATAATTACCTAGGACCTACAAGACTTTTCAAAATTTTTCCTGTCATTCAACATCTCAACGAAAAATTTCAGACACTCTTCTATCCTGGACAAAATATTTGTATTGATGAATCGCTTACACTATGGAAAGGGAGATTGGCATTCAAAATGTACTTGCCACTGAAAGCTTCAAAATTCGGCATAAAAACTTATGAACTCTGTGATTCCAAATCTGGGTATTTATGGTCATTTATTGTTTACACTGGCAGCGAAACCCAACTAAATTCTTCACTGATCAGAGAAAATACCAATAAAACAACATCTGTTGTTCTACATTTGGTCGAACCGCTCCTCCATAGAGGTCATACTCTATGGATGGATAATTATTACAATTCCCCCCAGTTAGCAAAATTATTAAAAAATCATGGCACTGACTGTGTTGGGACCCTTAGGTTGAACAGAAAGGGTGTCCCAACAACTGTAAAAAACACAAAGTTGAGAAAGGGCGAGATCATAGCTCAGCACGCAGGTCCTATAACTGTTCTCAAGTGGCAAGACAAAAAACCAGTTTCCGTGATCTCTACATTTCACAATGCCGACACACAGACAGATATAAAGAGAAACAAAGAAATAAAAAAACCAAAAATTATAATTGATTATAATGAAATGATGGGTGGCGTTGATTTGAAAGATCAGCTTTTACAGTACTACAACGTGGAAAGAAAAAGACTTCATAAGTGGTACATGAAACTCTTCAGACGCCTTTTGAATGCGACAGTGGTAAATGCCATGATAATTTATAACAAGAATCAGGAAAGACTGACAGACCACTTAGCATTCAGAGTAAATCTGGTAGAAGGGTTGCTGTTGAAGTTTACGGACCAGGAGCAGGCAGCACGTAGAGTACAAGGTCGACGTCATTCATCAGATAACACCATCCCCCGGCTTCGTGAAAGACATTTTATTAGTAAAATTCCCCCATCAGGAAAAAAGGCTAGACCACAAAGGCGATGTGTAGTGTGTACAAAAAACAAAAGAAGAAAAGAAACCGTGTACTGGTGCAGTGATTGTGATGTTGGGCTATGTATTGACCAGTGTTTTCAGGATTACCACACCAAACTCAACTTTTAGCAGTTCGAGTGAGTAAAAAAATATTATTTATCATAATTATATTGAAAAATATATATATAGTTTTGTTCTTCGTTTCTTTATGAATATTTCTGTGAAAATTTTATCTCAATATACCAATTTTTGCGAGAGTTACTAAATTTTTCATGGATAAGTGCATTTTTCTGTTTAATAATTAAATACCCCGTCGGTTTGGCGGTAGGAAATGATTTAAATACTATCCGTCGCGGAAGGGTTAATAGGAAAAAGTAAGTTACTCTGTAACAACATGAAGAGAAGAGCTGGTACTGTTTTTAATTACATAACAATAACTGATGAATTCATAAACTGATTTTCAAAAATAAATGGTGCCACAAGTGTATGAACAATGAACTATGCTAATTAATGTATGCATGTGAGTTGAAGCACAGTAAAATAATGGCTCAATAACTGATAAAAATACAACAGATATTTTTACAGAAAATTATACATACCAAATTTTCTGTAGCAAAACAGGAGTTTGACCTATATGCAATGACAATCTACATGGGTATATACAGGACAATCTGCAGTTTATGAAGGCCAAAGAAATATGAAAAGTGATTAATATTCTAGCAAGATTAGAAACTATTACAATTAAGAAGAGGAGGTTAATTAGTGTGACGAGCTTGGTCAGAAAGATAAATGAAGAGAGCACATTTAATTAATTAATATTACCAGGTATGGATTGTATAGCTGTGTTGTGCTGGCATGGGGCATGAAGTTTGATGTGTCAACCCATCCAACATGTCTCAAATTGACAACACTGCTGACAAGACGTCGGACATCTGACTCGACTACTGGGCTGTTCAGTAAGTGTAAAAGGGACTCCATTACTTGATTCATATTTGTTTGATCCTGTGCATCCAGGGGCTGACCTGCCAGCTATAACAAAGTGAAATACCTAGAAAGGGAGCAACGCTTCACCCATACAGTTTTGTAAAGACAGGTCACATGCCTTTTAACCACTTCAGTGATATTCCAAGAACCTTTCTATGATTCACTATGTTCCTACTCAGTATATCCTGGAAAGCATTCAGGTCCAGTGTTTGTTATATCCTGATAACTTTCACACTTATTTATGTTTCTCAGAAGATGGAAGCACCACATGGGAATTGTCAAAACTTTCTGGATGAAACAAAGATATATGGCATATGTTAGGGAACACAATTTGAATTTTGAGACATCACTGAAGGGGTTAATGAACTCCATAGAAAGCCTGCACACACCTGTGGGTAGACACATAAATCACAACAAAAACAGGTTAAGAAAAACAACTGCAATATACTATGGTGTGTCCAATGCTAAAAACAGACTATTACTCATGTAGTAACAGCATGGCAACCTACAGTGAGACAATGCATGCTGCTCAGTTACAGTGAAGAGAAGATAAATTAAATGCATGGCCAATACAGCACTGAATGTACCAATATATGCCTTTCTATTCTTCCTGTCAATCTCATATGGTGGATTTTCTCTTATGCCAAAAAACGGAAATGCAATCAGTAACTTACCTGTAAAATTTACTGCACAAACATTATTCCTCAAATATAAACTCAAGCTCTCAAAATGCCTGTAACATCACCAATCAGAATACAAGTTATACTTTTCTTGGGATATTATCAAAAATATTCAAAATAACTTATTTTCTTTGCTTTTCAGTATGTCTCTATGTAGGTTTCACAGTACCAGTAGCAACCATTCTCTAGCAACAAGCAAGGAAGTTGCCTCAAGAAGTCAAACTTCCAGCCTGCATTCATGAAGAGCATGGTTCAAATCTTGGCTATCCTGACTGTGGATTTTCAAGGCCTAAACCACTTCCATCCCTTCAAGTTTACTGGACATGGATATCCTCACATTATCTAATACTAAATAAGCACTGCAGATAAATAAGATACAAAACATCCATGTAACACAGACTTTGTTGGATTTTAAATTCTCTCAGCAGTGACTAAGAGGCTGTATGTATCTCCTTGGATGCAACACCATAAACTCTGACGAAAGTCAAATGACATTTAACATAAATGTATCACCCCAATCTTCAAGTTGAGGTGGAAGCCAAACTAGAAACCAGTATGAACCAGGTAGCAAGCAGAACTTTAAAGGACTACATGATGTTATATCCCAAAGACAGAAATCTTCAACATATACTTTGTATAACTGTGGTAACACACAAAAACCAGAACTGTTCACAATTTCATGAGTACTGTAGTACTTGGGGTTTAACACCATATAGCCTGGTAGATGGTTACTAGTGTTTCACAGGAACACACTACCTCCAACATCAAGGTATAAGATGGTAGCAGTATGTTCATTAAACCCATCCACCAGACCACATGTATTATAAACCAGAAGGCAACAATAGGAATTTTCACAGTATTTTCTGTCAACAGTCTTCCGTAGCTTCCTGGACTAATTATATGAGACACTGGAAGAAGAAAGGAAGGTTGTTAGTTATAGGGGGTCATGAAAATCCCTCTCCCAAAAAGGAAGGATGGAACGTATGACGATTATTATTAAAGCAAAGTTTATAACTACAAATTGTTTCATTAAAACCAGCTGCAAAAGAGAAAAAATACAAAATATGGCTTCATACAGGGAGTACGTAAGTAAATGTCCACGAAACAACATACTCTGTTCTTAATATTGGATACACCACAGAACTGTGAAGATAAAGCTGAAGGAACTGCTTAACAGAAGTAACTTCTAAGAGATTCATACAGTTAGCGTGGATCATACAACAAAAATTCATTATATGCTAAATACTTTAAATCATTTGGAGCCCATTTTAAAATTGTATTGTACATGCTAACCTATGTTTATTACAAATCTAAACTGCGAAGAGGTAATTTCTTAACAAACAGGTGCAAGAACAATATACAGTAAAACTTGGTTATAGCAACATCGGTTTCTGCGACACGTTGTCTGTTGCGTCAAATATTCAGTGGTACGAACTAATTCCTCATAAAGCAACTGTTTTTATACCTTGCTTAGTACGACATGCACAAATGCATCAACCTCGTATGTAACGTCATTTTCATTCCTGAATTTCCCTGATATTGTGGGAAAGTTCGATGTGTCTGCCCACCCTCACTTTCTCTACTTGCTGACGTGACTGTCCTGGAAGAATACGTTTAACAGAATGGTTGCGTAAAGTCAATTGTGATGAACTAGGTCAGTATGACTATGAGGCATATGCAACAATAGACGGCACTGTTACAACGGAGGCACAAACAGACGACGATATTGTATCAGAAGTGAAGAAGGATAGAGAGGAGGAAGATGAGGAGGGAGGAGAAGAATGTTCCGAAGTCTCCATCCCTACTGTGAGTGACGCGCTTGAAGCCATTAGGGTTGTGAACTTGTTTTATGAATCCAGGGGAGGCAGCAGTGAAATTGTGACAAAAATTATGGACATTGAACGTAATTTAGAAAGTGTGTATTGGGCAAGTAACAGGAAACAGATGAAGATAACTGATTACTGTACTCGTATCTAGGTACAGTAAGGCACAACAATTGATGTAATCTACTGTAATCTGGTGAGTAGGCCTACCTTTAATATACAGTATTAGTGCGGTGTGTATTGTCAGTGAAATGCGCTGTAATATGTTTTTGATATTATACATTTGGGCAAATCCACGTTAATGGTACGTTAGTCTGTACTTAACTACGTATTTCACTAAAAAATGCAACATTTTAACTCGGTTTTGGTAGATTTTTACGTGACTAACATAAGGCTACTGTGGAAGTGCCCATTTCAGTTACGACATTCGTTTATAACAACACTATTTTTAGGTCCCTTTTATGACATTATAACCAAGTTCTACTGTACATACTTTCTCCCATATGAGTTTTGGCCACTAGAGGGCATGATGTTAGTTTCTCAAAGATACCACACGTGCAGTTTTATTTAGGAAGATGGGCTGCATAAATTATTAAAGTTTAATCAAAATAATTTGGACCATTTTCAAGCGAATCATGATTTTAGTTTTGCAGCCCCTGTGAAGGGCCCCTATTTCTTGGAGCTACAATGTTCATATCCATTAGGAACTGACCTATGATGGATAACTCTTTAGTAATAAATGCAAATGATATTCACCCAGTCATTCAGGTACACAATCATAAAGACAGACAGATAGAAAGTATTCCAAAAACCACCTTTTTGTAGTCAGGGCTGCTGAAAATGTGTAAATCCATCAGTCTTGAGATAATTTCTTTTCATGATCACAATATTTTCTCATACTACACATATAAAAAATATACCTTTACACAAAACAAAATCACTAACCTTGAGAACTTGACATATACATTTAATGTTTCCAGATGTTGCATTACTGAGTAATAAAGAAAGAGCTTCAAGTAATGCTTTTCCCAGAATTTCTATCCTTTGACCATAACCTTTTGCACATTCCAGCTGCATGAACAACTCTGCCATAAACAATACATAGCCATGTAATCTTCCTGGATCTGTATAAATATAATTTGATATTTGTGCATGTTCTTGTTGACACCTGCAGGAAAAACAAACATATATCACAGCAGAACAAAGTTCAGAGTACATGATTAAATAAAATGTTTTTTTACTGCATTAATAAAGTTCTGATCTCAAATGATGGCTCCTTTCACTATGGCAAGTTAAATCGATAGAAGATACTCAACATCATTATTGTCATAATCAACACCACCATTCTTAATATAGTAAAAGCTACAATATCCAGCACTGGATGATACAGAAAGCTCCTATTAACTGGAAACTAACTATGAAAACAATGATTGAAAGAGTGAAATACTGGAATCTTGTTGGTTTCTTTTTTTAGATTATAAATACACAATGTTAAGTCGTGACAAAAAGGGAACATAAAGTGTGGCAGAGAAAACAGGAGAGCACACTGCAACCATGAACCAGTTAAGAAGAGCCTTCTGGATCATCCAGTGCTGGACATTGTAGCTTTTACTGTACTAGGAATGGTGGTGTTGGTTATGACAACAATGATATTGAGTACCTTTTCTTGATTTAACTCACCATAGTGAAAGAAGCCATAATTTGAAACCAGAACGTGATTAATGCAGTAAAGAAACAGACCACTTGTTATGTATATTACATAAGTGTACAAAAGTATACAGTACACACTTGACAGGCACATTCAGCAGGCATTATAAATTACATGCCAATATATATGACCTCCTTATTACTAATAAAAAAATTAACGGTAGCTTCTGTGAGAAAGGAGAGTGACATCATATGACTTCAAAGGGATTTTGTTTTAGAAAAACTGAATAATCAAGACCATGAACTCTTCCCTTATAATAAAAAGACAAATTCAGATGTTCACTGATAGCTGGTAGGGACCCAGGATAGCGACTGGCTGGACAACCGAGGGGTCGGAGTTCAAGTACCGGTACGGTCAAGAATTTTCTCTTCTCTAGGTCATCCAGATCGGCTATGGGACCCAGGCAGCCTCCTATGCAATGGCTCCTGGGCGCTTTTTCCCCAGGGGTAAAGTAGCCATGGCGTGAAGCTGACCACTCACTTCGAGCTACTGTCAAGGTCAAGAAAATATGGATCTATACATCCACTCACCCATACGCCTTCATTGCATAGTGCTTAATTAGTTAAGCACAGGGGACAACTTTACCTTACTGATAGCTAGTACTTACTCAGACTGGCACGAAGTCGAAACTACTTGCCTATAGTAAATAAATAAACAATCTATACTAAAGCTCCACTATTTGCAGTTATTACACACACTATAAGAAAATTAAACACATGCACAAAAACTATTTCAATGTAGTTTAAACTCAATCAAGATTTTCTTTTTCTTTTCCTAAATGTGATCTTTATGTAACAAAATAAAGCATTTGTTCTTTTTGTAGATTTACCTACTATGACCAAGAATAAAAGGCTTTAACAGCGTAATAAATTACATTTCAATTAAATATGTGTTAAGAGATATGTAGACCTACACCTACACCTAGACCTATGTACCTACACGTACACGTAGTAAAGACAAGCAGCGGCACGCACACAGGAAGACCACACAGAATAACACCTGTACAGTGTGAAACAAGAACTAGCCGCTCCAGCACTTTAGACATAGGGCGAGTAACCCTAACAATTTTAAATTCTAAATTTAAAATTTAGAGAAAATTTTAAAGGATTTTAAAATCATAACTAAAGATTTTATAGTGCTACTACAGGAAAATTTGACGTGTGCAATATAATCTACATACCAGACACATATCAACGAGGTAGATGTTGATAATACGAAAAATAACAATGCGTTTTTAAATGTTAAATTTTAGACTGGGTTTCAGTGTGGCAGCAACGTTAAGAGTATACACCTGATGATGGCCGATAGAGGCCGAAACATGTAGTGTAGAAGAGAACAAGATCAAAGACATATAATATATATTGTTTGCACTTGGGACGGAGTGTGTATCATTTATCGTGTAGAGTGCAACAGGATGCTGAGATATAATATTGAGAATAAGAGACTTTGGTAATCTGCTGACTGTTGAACATATAAGTTCAGAGATGTATGAATATCATCTCTTTTATTTAATCATTTACAAGACCATAAGACTGTAAGGAAACAGTCCTTAAGAAGTTTTAATCAACTGGTATAATTTTAATTACTCTTCCATTACCAATTAACTGATTGTAACAATCATCAGTGCAAAGCATAGTTAATTTTAACATACTCAAATTTCTTACAACAGTTTAATTTCTGTGTTTTCATCTATATGACCATAATTTCCACCAGCAGAAAAATTCTTTACATTTCATAAATAAAACACTGTTGCCACATAGAACTAACATTATCATCACTGCATGGGCTGCGCCATAGCTCAAGCAGTTAGTCGCTAACTTCCCATCGCGGCAGCCCAGGTTCGATCCCGGGTCTGGCCAAGTGGGATTTGTGGTGGACAAAGTGGCACTGGGGCAGGTTTTCTCCGAGTGTTTCAGTTTCCCCTGCCAATCTTCATTCCACCAATTGCTCCACAATCACCCTCACCTATCATCTGGGGATGGTACAATATGGCAGAAGTGGCCGCAGTACAAGAGACTTAGTCCCACCTCAACAGAAATAAAAAAAATCATCACTGCATTCTATATCATTCTTATNTCATCATCATCATCATTATCAGTAATCTGTCAGACGACAGGTCCACAGTCTCTTCCAAAACAATTCCTCCACTTAATGCGATCTAGAGCTTTCTCCTTCAAATGACAGTACCCTCTTCTGTCCCCAAGGTCATCCAGCATCTTCTTACATCTTCTTGTCACTTCTATTCGCCCCTCTATCTTTCCTTCAATTACTTCTTTTAGAAGGCATTTTCTGCGTAAAACTTGACCATTCATCCATCTCTTCACAAAAAAAAAAAGAACCCAAGAACTGCTGAATAGGTTTTCACAAAATCTGACAATGAAGAATTTTTTCAAAACTTACCAAGCTAATTCAATTCTTATTTAGATGAAACAGTTTTACTTACCACTTTACATGAAGATCTACAGGCATTTCTGCATTTATTTTGAGCAAAAAATGCTACTATTTAAAAGAAAGTCTCAAGTTTAGGCTCCACTGGATAGGATTGTTTATGTAATTGGTGTTCTGTTACCACATGACTCTTGAGGCATAAACAGTGCATATACACTGAATCTCCTTTCAGTGTACATAACAACAGTGAAGCATCAGTACTGATTGTTTATTCATACAGTATAGGCCTGTACTTTCAACTTCTGGCTAATTTTGATACATATCGGGTAATAGTGAATACCTGCATGTGAATTTAATATCTGTGTATTGCAAGGGAAGAATTCATCACAGCCTTAATTATTATTTGGTGAATCTAAAATAAGTCACCTCCATAATTACAGAATATCACTCCCCTTTCTTGCATCAGTTACATTATTCTTATCGTATAAGTACCTTAAAGAACATGTAATTTGTAATTCATTCTGCAAAATGAACCTCCTAAGTACACAAAGCATGCTTTTCAACTTTATTTAAAAACACCTAAACTTTGTAGGTCTTCCATCGTAATAAACACACATATTTCTCAAAGCAAAAATTCTGTACTTAATCAGCAAATATTTATGCAGGTAGATTTGCAGATAACATTTCAAGATACTCTCTAACTGCCATCATTATCATCAATACATTTAAGGAAAACTGCATCCTTCATTACCTATTTAGAAGAAAAGTTCTGAATGTTGACCTTTCTCCTGGAGGAAATTCGTTGTTAAGGAAGTTACAAAGTCTTGCTCCACTGTACCGGAAATTTGGTTCCATTATTGACTGAAAGTAAAGGCTAATATTACAACATTATCAGGCATACTTAATATATTTGCAATCACATGTGGTATTTGAGATTTACGTCATCATCATCATCGACCAGCAGATGATGTGTCCAATTTAATTTTGGTTCCATCTGGTTTTCTTTGACTTTCTTAATGGTGTATTCTATAGCAAAGTTGAAAAGCAATGGCGATAAAGCATCTCTTTATCTTAGACCAGGCATGTCAAACTCAACTTGTACAGAGGGCCACCTTGGCCCTATAAATAATAGTCTAGGACCGCACTTCAAAATAGAAATATACATTAGATTTTGATACAAGGAAATTTAATTCTATTTATTATTTAGGAATAATTTCAATATAATTACCTAAAGTGGAACACTTATATTTTTCCCACAAATCAAACATGTAATTTTACCTTCTATTTCACAACAGAAATAAGAGATTTCCCATTTTTCTTGAAAAACACGGCGCTCACTTTCAATACTTCTTTTTTTGCTACTTGAATTTTTTGAAAGTGACATGCCCTTTAAAAGTTACTGTACATATACAAGAAAACTCATAGTTGATAATTTAATGTTTAATTATAACCTTTATATGTTCATCACAATGTAACATCAGCACCGGTCGCTGTGTGAAAATGAACTGAATGACAATGTACAACAGACTACTGGACTAGTAGGAAGGTGTATCTTGTCTCAGTGGTCATAAAAGTGAAAGTTTGCTAGCAGCCCATTAGACAATAACTGGGGGTTGCAAGCTAATTTTGAAGGTAGAAATCCCTTGCACTTGTCTGTCAGTTGCCACCCTCCTTGCATTCTTACTACGCCTCCAGAAGGGATTCTTGGAAATACTTGAGGTGGTGAGGCTGTGCAGATTTTAGTGCATTAACCTTCTGAAATAAAATAGTTTGTCCTTCAGGAACTTTACAAACCGTTAGTTGGACAAACCCTTCTGCAATTCTCAGAAACACTTTTCCTGCAGCCTGCTAATTTATGTCTGTGTGAGACCTCTTGTCTTCTGGTCTGTTGGAAAATTGTCTTTACAAAAAATATTTCTACTAAAATTTTAATATTGATTTTAATATCAATTAGCTCTAAAAGTTGAGGGGCCACAATTTGTGGCCATGGGGGCTGCATGTTTGACACAGCTGTCTTAGACCATTCTGAATAGGAAATATCAGACAAATGTTTACCTACAATAAATTTACTATACAATGCGTTCAATGATCAAGGAACAACATCGTAGAGCAGACACAATATTTCTCACAGAGTGCTGCTGACATGACTGCACTCTTGCTAGCAGGGAAAACGGGGAACGGCACAGCAGTCATGGAGAAACGTTCCATCCCCTCTATGCTTGTGTTTATCAGTGCTAATGACTGATTCTGCTATCGGCAGTTACAGCAGCGATCTGTGAGAAATGTTGTGTCTGCTCTATACTGCTGCAAGGTTTCCTATCACTGAATGCCCTGTAGGTTTCATTTAAACACATTTTAATAAGTCTGACTAGTTTCACGGCTACCCTAAACTCTATGAGGACATTGTACAATACTTCTCTAACTTAATCTTGTGCTTTCTTGATGTCTATTAATAACTGAAGGGCTGTCTCACTGCACTCCATTTTTTTCTCCAGTATCTGACAAATGCAGACTTCCTCTGTGGTCTAGCAGTCAGAGTTCCTGGCTACAGATCCAGAGGTCTGGGTTCGATTCCTGGTGCTACCAGATTTTCTGAGAAGTACTGGGTCTGGAATGGGGTCTGCTCAGCCTTGTGAGGATAACTGAGGAGTAGGGACCAGATTTTAATGCAAGTGCATATTTCTTTCTTGCAACCAGAAAGTATGCTCGTTTGGATATATGTACTTCATTTCTTAAATTTCGGACATGGTTTAATGGTGAATATAAATGCATATTTTGCCTGTTTTATGAATAAGTATCATATTTTCGAACATCTCTATTTATACTGCATATTTCCTTTTTAAAATGTTTATCATATATATTTTTTAATTGTATGTTCAAATTTTCAACCATGGTCATGTGTATACAATTTTTCCTTTCCGTATTAGAATATGTTGCACATTTGACTCAACATTTTGTCATGATTCATATGTCTGATGCAATACCCAGGACTGGACTTACCCAATCACTCTACTCGTAACTTGCCTCATCCGCGTACTATCAAAGTGGCCGCGAAGAGATTAGTCTGAAGCCATCACATGTAGCTGCTATCAACATAATACTATTCAACTGATAAGGGACTTCACTTATTTATTTCCAAAGTCTCCATGAGGTTCGTTACGCTTCTTCATTTCAAGCTGGGGGCCATTCACATTAGTGGTGACTAGTCTGTAGTTAAGTTTGTTTAGCTTTCTGTAGTCGTGACAAAAGTGAAGGTAAGTCAGAAAACTAAATTACAGCTGTATCAGTGGGAGTTCAAAGGAGAGATGATAAGTACGGATAACAAAATTCTTTATTGCCGAGCGTGTGAGAAAACAGTTGGTTGTGAAAAACACTATCAAGTGCTTCAGCATTTGAACACTAATATACACAAAGAGAATATTAAAATTAAATCCATGAAAAGTGCTCCTGTTCCAAAATTGCTTAGTGAATTTTCTAATAATAGTTTTTCACAGTTTTCCTTTGATTTATGCGAAGCCTTTTTAGCGGCAGTTATTCCGCTGTGGAAACTAACCAATTCTACTTTGAGAAACTTCATAGAGAAGTATACACAGTGCAAAGTGCCGGATAAATCTACTGTGCGCAAAAATTACGTGAAGCAGTGTTACGATCTTACAATTGAAAGCATTAGAGATAAGATTCAAGATAATTTTGTGTGGGTATCAATCGATGAAACACAAGATTGTGAGGGATGGTTTATTGCAAATTGTATAGTTGGATCCCTTAATAAGAATGAACAATCTACCTCATATCTTCTTGCGGTACAGCAATTTGAAACCACAAATAGCTCCACAGTTTCCAAATTTTTTATCAATTCCATGAATTTACTATGGCCAAATGGCATTCAGTATGAGCGCACATTGCTCTTTGTGACTGATGCCGCAAGTTATATGATGAAAGCCGGTACTGCTCTTAAAGTTATATTTCCAAATATGACACATTTTGACTTGCCTTGCCCATGGGTTGCACAGTGTTGCAGAAACAATTCATATAAACTTTCCACGTGTTGACAAGTTGGTGTCTTCTGTGAAGAAGTTATCTGTTAAAGCGCCATACAAAAAAGAAGCCTTTAAAGCAGTAGCACCAAGCATTCCACTTCTGCCAGAACCAATTTTAACGCGCTGGGGCACATTGCTGTGTGCAGCGAGTTATTATACCGAACATTTAGAAACAGTTAGGAATGTCATGAATACATTTGATCCCAAACATGCAGCATCAATTCAAATTGCCCAAGATGTACTAAAAAACGCAGAGCTAGAAACTAATCTTTCCTATATATCCGCTCACTTCTCTCATCTTCCATCTGCAATTTCCTCACTGGAGGCAAGCAATAGCAATACTACTCTGTATCAGTCGTTAAGAGTGTTCAAAACCACTGTTTCCAAATTGAATTCGGTTCCTGGAAGACTTAGGGAAGTAGTAAAGGAAAAAGTGCACAGCATTCTTTCAAAAAATCCAGGATATGAACAAATTTGTGAAATTGAAGACATTTTAGCCAGTAAACATACTGAACTGCCAAGTAAAAAATCACTAACAATGGAGCAAACAGCAGCTTTTGTACATGCGCCCCTAAGTTCCTGTGAGATGGAAAGAAGTTTTTCCCACTATAAGGACAACTTACGAGAGAATAGGAGGCGACTAACTATGGAAAACCTAAAACATTTAGTAACTGTGAACTGCAACAGAAGAGAAGTTGAAAGTTTGGAGAGCTAATTGTGAATACCATTGGTTTTTTAACTTTGTAATGAAATATGTTGGCTTTGTTGCATGATTTGCATTTAAGTATAACTTTTTATTGCAAGTGAATCATTCAGTGATTACATAAAATGAACTTAAATATTGATTTGTTGGTCTTAAAGTAATGTAAAATCAATTTTAATATTTGGTATAAATTTTTATGTGCATATTTTAGTGCATATTTCGGAAGTTTTTTATGCATAAATGCACACATATTTAAGGGGTTATTAGGGCATAAAAATCCAGTCCCTACTGAGGAGCTATTTCAAGGAAACAGTGACTCTGGTCTATAAAACCAAAATTAATGGCCATGGGTATTCGTTGCACTGACCACGCGACACCCTCTATTCGCTAAAGTTGGCACTAACTTCACCAACAAGTGGCAGTCGCTCAGTCGATATAGTTCACTTGCAGATTAAAATCATGGAGTTTTTTTTTCCGTTTATCTGACAAATGCAAGAAATCTGATCAGCAGATGATCTCTTATGTCGAAACCCACAATGATGATCACCAATAACGTAATTGATGTATGGACTTAACCTTGAAGACACTGGATAAGATTTTGTATGAAGTTAACAACAGTGACAAGCCTCAATAATTACTACAATCAGTTTTATCACCCTTCTGTGAACTGATATAATAATAGCCTCCTTCAACTGCCAAGGCAAATTCTTGCTTATTCCAAATAGAATTAACGAGTAGGCATTTCTTTTCCCCCTCATGTGTATTACATTCCCCACCATCTCAGCCCTCTTGATTTGATCATCCCAGTAATATATGGTGAGGAGCAGAAATTATGAAGCTTATCATCATGCAACTTTCTACAGATTTCAGCTTCTTCCTCCCTGTAGGTCACTCCTCAGACAGAAAAAGGATATAACAAATTTAAATACTGTAAAAAAGGTTAATGAAAGAATAACTCACCTGTTCCACAATTACATTGACTACAGAGGACAATGTCTCTGCATTCCCCAACCAAAGGCCAAAGGTGTCTACCAATGGAGTAATCAGATCATCAAATGTCCCTGGATTCAATGTCAAATGCTGCATTACTCCAATTAGGTGATCTGTTGGGAATTGTTCTTGTCTGGTATCAGCTGTTCGATTTAAAGAGTTGTAAAGAGAACAGTTACCTCCTTCTGGTGCAGCCTGCAGTAATGGATTAATTTAAAATATAATAATTAAAGGTACAATTACTATTTCAACTAAGCACCACGATATCAAAGTTAAAAGAGTTCAAAATTGTAAATAATACTATAACCATCACAGGGTATACTTTTAAATTTTACCATAAATAATGCCAGTATAAATCCACACGTTAGCACATGCAAGGAAACAAGTGACATTTAATAGCTGGCACTTATATCTAAACCAAAATAATCTTCTTGCGAACTAGATATGATACCATGAAGAAAACTCAAGACTTTATGAATTTTTTATGGACTAATAAGTGACTAAATAACTACCCATCCTTGTGAAAAGTGTGCTTAGCCAGTACAAAAATTATATCACAATTGGACATGTTCATGATAGAGCAGTAGAGAATAATTTATGCAAGCAGAAAGAACATACAAAAAAGTGGCCTCAAAAGGTTAAATGAAAAGAATAGCATGTGTAGATACATATGATTAAATTCAAAGAAAAAGACAACACTTAAGTTATATGAAGAATCACCCTGTATAACTTTACCGTTATACTGTAAAATGTAAGAAAACATATTTGTGTATTAGTTTTTGTGTCTAGTACCTGACTTGGCAGTTCAAGGACAGATGACATCTCAGAACATATCAACGGATACTATCAACAAGCATTTAACATCTGAAGAGGATACTATCAACAAGCATTTAACAACTGAAGAGACAGCGTTGCATCAAATACGTACATGTCCTTGTAGTTAGAGAAATATGAATTGTCACTGGACAGCAGTAATGACATGTGAAATTCAGAAATTAAAAAAAGAACTTCAGACTGATCTTCAAGCCAAGTAGGGCTTTTCAGGAATGTAACTTATAAACAAATTACCTTGAAAGTAAATAAATGAAAGAAGAAAACTGTATACTAAATTGAACCCAGCTTATAACAAGTTACGAAACAGATCAGCAACAATGTGCCTGTATGAACTGATGACATTCTTTGTTATTCTGTAAAAAATTATGACTTTCCTGTAAACATGGGCCAGATTTTTGTAAGGGATAGCACTTCTCAAGTATTTATTTATTTTGTAGTTTATTTAAGGACAATGTCAGTAACTCAGACTCTATAGTGTTGAAAGACAGTGTGCACTGAATAGTAAAACATGTGGAAGGAAGCATTCATGGCCTAATTTATGGCATTATCCCAGCATCTGCCATAGGGATTGAGGAAAACCACAAAAAGCCCCAGTACAGTAGTTGGTGCCCTGGCCAAGATGTACGAGGGTAAGTCAGTAAGTAAGTCACAAATGGGTATAGAACTTAAACAAATAAGAATACTGACCTGAAAAATGCTTTTATTTCTCAACATAATCTTCCTGTACATTGAGGCACTTGTCCCATCATTTCACAAGTCCCTGAAAACCAGCAGCATAAAATTCTTTGGGCTGCTGTCGGAACCAGCCATGTTGCTCTTGTATGACAACACACATTCCCATACTGCCAACAAGACAAATGAGATGCTGTGACATTTCAAGTGGGAAATCCTCGGGCATCCTCGGTATAACCCAGACCTTGCTCCAAGCAACTTCCATTTGTTCGGTCCTCTTAAACATCATCTTTCGGCTGAACATTTTCCCAACGATGCTATAGAAAGGGAAGTGAGGGCCTGGTTCCAACAGCAGCCCAAAGAATTTTAATTTGCTGGTTTTCAGGGGCTTGTGAAACGATGGGACAAGTGCCTCAATGTACAGGGAGATTATGTTGAGAAATAAAAGCATTTTTCAAATCAGTACTCTTATTTGTTTAAGTTCTATATCCATTTGTAACTTACTTATTGACTTACTTACATATATCAGGCATTTTCTGAATATAAATGCTACTAATTCAGCCAACTCGCTCTGTGTGTGTGTGTGTGGTCTAATACAACTTTAAGGTTCAATGCAAACAGTACTACACACTTGGAAGCATGTGAGTGTCAGATATCTATAACGACTGTATATTAATGATTTAATGGTATTATGATCTGCTGCACACCTGCAAGTACAAACATCACACACACCTTGATATCAATTAGTATAAATTAATACACCAACATAAGAAAAGTAGCAAACTGAAAACTGGTCAAGGCACAATATAAATTCATAACCACTTGAGAATGGTGCAGCACTAACATAGTCTAGAATTTTCTACTATGTTTGGTTAACTGTTTATGTGGATTAAGACATTTATTACTGGCACACCAAAAATCTGCAAACCTACTAACAACAAACTTTCCATCCATGCACAAACTAACAAGCCTGACAAACCTTAATAACTGAACAAGAGGCCAGAGATGACCAGTTAGAATAAAGTCTGCTTTGCAGGTTTCCCTGTCCAAGTGACCAGTTTGGAATGACTGTCATTTGGAATGGCAGCATGTTTTGATGGGGCACCTACAAATCAAATACTTTTATTCTGACAAAGCACAAGATATTGGATGAAGACACTCTTAAAAGTTAAAGCTGTGGTTACATACAGCACCAGAGTAAACTTATGTATTTTATCTCATATGGAGAACAAACCCAGTTCAAAATATCAGTACTTACATATTAACAGGTGACCCAAGCAATCTTGTGGAGGCTGATGGAAGTGCCTTTGCAAAGTGCAAGAACAATATTCATCAAGTGCTACCTGCATAATGTACAAAGAGTACTGCAGGTGGATTTCAGACACAGGAAAGAGTGTGTCTCTTGGTGAAAGTGTTGAATAAAAATGCCAGTAGACTCCACTTATTACTGGCATTGCGAGAATGTCGAAGAAAGCTCCATTATCTATTCAGATAGTTGATGCACATATAAGACAAAGAATGTTTCTTGGTGAAAGTGTCACTCTCAAATGCTGGTACACTTATTACTGTTATCATGAAGCATGTCAAAGAAACCTCCCTTGTCTATTCAAATAGCTGGTGTAGATACAGAACAAAGAATGTGGAATGCGCAGCTTCAGCAACCACAAGCACAACTTTGCTGATCCAACAAGTGGCATTTACTTACTTACTTACTTACTCATGGAGCTGAGCCCTTCTTGCGGAGCCGCCAATTCTGCAGCTACTCAAGAATTTCCCAGCATTTTATGGAACCCGAAGTTTCATCACCACGTTCACAAGAGCCCTCCACTGGTCCCTATCCTGAGCCAGATCTATCCAATCCATACCATCCCATCATCTCTCTCAAAGATTCATTCTAATATTGTCCACCCACCTACGCCTTGGTCTTCCCTGTGGTATCTTTCCTTCTGGCTTTCCCACCAATATCCTACATGCATTCCTCGTCTCCCCCATTCGTGCTACATGACCTGCCCACCTCATCCTCCTTGACTTGATCATTCTAATTATACTTGGACAAGAGTACAAGTTATGAAGCTCCTCATTATGCAGTTTTCTCCAACCTCCTGCGACTTCATCTCTCTTCAGTCCAAATATTCTCCTCAACACCCTGTTCTCAAACACCCTCAGTCTATGTTCCTCCCTTAATGTCAGAGACCAAGTTTCACACCCATACAGAACCACAGGCAAAATTATAGTTTTGTATATTCTAATTTTTATGTTTTTGGACAACAGACGAGAAGACAAAAGGTTCTGGACTGAATGGTAGCAAACATTACCCGAGTTCAATTGCCTCTTAATTTCCTCCTGAATCAGGTTTCAATCTGTTATCATTGTTCCCAAATATCTGAACTGTGCCACATTTTCAAAACATCTGTTTCCTATCTTTATGTCGTGATTTTGCCCTGCATTTTGGTGATGAGACAGTAACGTATACTTAGTTTTCTCTGTGTTTACTCCTAAACCAACCTCTTTACTTGCGTCAATTAAAGTTTGTGTGTTTTTCTTTATGGTATCTACATTATCACCCAGTAGATTCGCATCATTGGCGTAGACCAACAGCTGATGTGTCCCGTTTAGTTTCAGTCCCACCTGACTTCCCTGGACCTTCCTAATTGCATATTCTAAGGCAAAGTTGAAAAGTAGTGGCAATAAAGCATCTCCTTGTTTTAGACCATTCTGGATAGGAAATTTATCAGACAAATGTTTACCTACACGGACTTTACTATACGTTTCATTTAAACACATTTTAATCAACCTAACTAGTTTCATGGGTATCCCAAACTCTATCAGAATATTGTACAATACTTCCCTCCTAACTGAATCGTAGGCTTTCTTGAAGTCTATGAATAGCTGATGTACTGTCTCATCGTACTCCCATTTTTTCTAAAATATCTGACGAATCCAAAAGATCTGATCCAACAAGTGGCATACACACCGAAAAGGTGAAATGGATTTTGGGGCAGAGAAAATGGCTTAAGTCAAAGCATCAAGGCACTGAAAGTCACCATGAAGAGTCCTACTTGGCTGAGCTTACTAGCAGAATCAATCAACAGGAAGGATCCTTTCAACATCATTCTGGAAACAATCAACCAATACCGGCAGTGAGAAACTGAAATGTAATTATCATGTCTGAGGTTCCCACAGTAATTACTAGAGAGAGGACTATCTTCTGGGATGTTATGCTGTGCCATATAGTAAAGGTTTGATGATGTTTTGGAGGGAGATATTCCATCTCCAAGTTGGCCATCTGCTGCTTGCTTCTAGCTTGTTGCATGCCTTATTTTTTACTCTGAAAATGGATACATTATATTCTTTTGAAACATCTGTGAAATTCTATCAGAGTAAATGGTTCCATATCCTAGAAGACAGTGCTCTTTATTGTTCTAATTTTCTTTCCTACACAAACCTTGTAAAACAGACACAGAAGTTGCCTGAAAATTCTTTGAATCACTGGTTAATACATAAGTATCAAAATATCTGCAAACCATGTGAATCAACAAATCCCAATCTCCTGCCTGAAATATGCCTATATGCAGGGTGGGGCACAGAAATTTCCTTTTTGTGAAGACGCATTGTGAAGGGAAGGGAGGTCACAGAAAAGTGGGGATAAGCTCGGCAAATGCAGCAGTTGTGGAAGTTTCTGTCTAATACCCATTAGTAGGAAACGAGGTGGACGAGTGAGCAGCGTGCGTTTACTGTCAAAGTCTATTTTTCGAACAATCATTCCTGTGTGGCGGTGCAGCGTGCGTTCCACACTCACTTCGGAATTAAGCCCAGAGGTCCAGTTTCTGACCATAAATCAATTGTTTTGTGGGTAGAGAACTTTAGGACAACTGGGAGTGTGGTGAAAAAATTATCAGGATGACAACGGACTGTTACGACGCCAGAAAATGTGGAGGCAGTTTGACAGTCGATTTTGAGATCTCCAAGACGCTCCGCTCGCAAACATGCAGTCACCCTAGACATATCCAATTGTTCAATGCGCTGAAATCTTCACGAACATCTTAATTTCCATCCCTATAAGATGGTTGTTGTGCAAGAATTGTCACCATGTGATTTCTAGAACCAAATAAAGGTGTGTGAAACGTTATTGGAAACTTTGGCCCCTGATGCACTTGTTTTCTTTAGTGATGAGGCACATTTGCACCTATCTGGATATGTCAACAAGCAGAATGTGCACTATTGGAGTGGTAACAATCCCAGAGAGCTCCATGAGAGGCCACTTCACTGTGATAAGGTGACAGTATGGTGTGCGTTGTCAAGAGTTGGAGTTATTGGCCCTTATTTTTTTGAAGAAGACAATCATGCAGTTACTGTCAATTCACAGCGGTATGGGGACATGATTAAAAACTTTTTCGAACACGCTCTTGAAGAACTGCATCTAGGAAATTTCTGGTTCCAACAGGATGGTGCCAAGGCCCACACAGCCCGAGCTTCGATGACAGTTCCCCGGACAGCTCATCTTGCTTCAAGGTGACATCCCATGGGCAGCGCACCCACCTCATCTAACATCCTGTGATTTTTTTATGGGGATACCTCAAGGCAGAGGTTTTTAAACATCGCCCCACAAACCTCCTTCAGCTGAAGAATGTTATTCGGCAGGAAGCAGCCCAAATTCCGGTGCACATGTTGGAACGTGTGGAGGAGAACTTCAGAAAATGGTTGCATCAGTCCATACAGAATGGTGGCCACCACCTTCAAGATATTTTGTTTCAAACTACATGATTTAAAACTTTAAAGTATGTTCTTTCATTAGCTAAACATAAATTTTTTCTATCAGCAATAATTTTTCTTTTATTCGCCTTCAAAAAAGGAAGTTTGTGCGCCCCAGCCTGTACATATAGAAACAGGGATAGGCTATCAAATAGCATTCACTTTTCATTGCAAGTCCAACTACTTGTGTTTCACTGTATAACAATTCACTTCTCAGAACAGAATTAACAACAGTGGGTCACATACAATTCACTTTTTTAATACTTTGTGGCAGATTGTTGAACACTTTTATGCCAGTAAAGTAGACTCCTTTTTGATATACTGATAAAGTTGATGAGGGTAGGTGGAAGTTATATTTTTGTCTAGTATTCATGTTATAGACATCAGAATTTAATTTGAATTTATCTTTGTTGTAAACAACAAATAAGAGAAGCGATAATATGTATTGCGATTGAAGAGGTAGAATTTTTAATTTCTTAAATAATTCTCTACATGAATCTCTACTTCTACATCCTGTAATGATTCTAATTATATTCTTTTGTATTTTAAAAATTATTACACTATGTGAAGAGTTCCCCCAAAATATTAATCCATAGTTCATAATAGAATGAAAGTAGGCATGGTAAACCATCTTCAATGTTTCCTGTGACATAAAAGGCTTAATTGATCTCATCGCATAGCAAGCTGCATTTAATTTAGGTATAATTTGTTCAATATGTATTTTCCAAGACAGTGTACTGTCTACATGTATTCCAAGGAATTTTGTATCAAGTACTTTACAGATTAATTTGTTGGCATAACTGATGTCCAGATCAATTTGGTGGTTGTTTTTAGTTGTGAATGATATGTAATGGGTTTTATCAAAATTTAATGAGAGTAAATTGGCTTCGAACCATCTGTTTAAGGCTTCAAATACAATATTTATGTCATTTTTAAAGTTTTCAAATTTAGAGTTCTTAAATATTATACTAGTGTCATCTGCATATAGAATTGGTTTAGATTTATTGTTGATGGTTTTAGATAGATCATTTATGTAGAGAAGAAAAAGTAAGGGACCTAAAATTGATCCTTGTGGAACACCGTGCTTTATAATTCCCCAGTTTGAAAATGCATTATGACTGGAGTTTTTATTATTTATTTCAACTCTTTGATACCTGTTTTTGAGGTATGATTTGATCCATTCATTAGCTTTGCCAGTTATTCCATAGAAATTTAATTTCGATAGTAAGATATCATGATTAACACAATCGAAAGCTTTTGCTAGATCACAGAAAATCCCTCCCACAATTAATCTGTCATTGAGAGCACTTAAAATATCGTTAGTTAGTTCATAGGTTGCTTTTTCTGTTGTTAGGTCTTTCCTAAATCCAAATTGCTCTTTGACTAATATGTTGTTAGAATTTAAGTGTTCAAGTAGTCTATTATACATAACTTTTTCAAAGACTTTTGAGAATGAAGTCAATATGGATATTGGTCTGTAATTAGAGATGCATTTTCTCTCTCCTTTTTTAAAAAGTGGTTTCATTACAGCGTATTTTAAGCGTTGAGGAAAAGTACCTGATGATAAAGATTTATTACATAGATGATTCAAGGGTGAACTGATGTAAACAGAGCTTGCTTTAAGTAATTTGGTAGAGATTTCATCATATCCATGTGAATTTTTGGGCTTAAGGGATTTAATAATGTTTTCAATTTCCTTCCTTGTTGAGAATTTGAGATTGATATTTGGAAATGAATTGTTAAAGGCACGAGACAGATAGTATATTGGATTATTATTATTATTATTATTATTATTATTATTATTATTATTATTATTAGTATTGTTGTTATTGGAATATGTTTTCTCAGCTAATGAAAGGAAATATTCATTAAATGCACTTGCGATAGCTTGTGGATTGTTAGTGGACTTCCCTTCAATATTCAAACTTTGTACGTCTTCATTAACAGATTTCTTTCCTGATTCAACTTTCACAATATCCCAGGTGGTTTTAATTTTATTGTTTGATTTTAGAATTTGGCTGTTATAGTTATTCTGTTTGGCTTCTTTAATGACTTTTGACAAAATTTTACAGTACATTTTGTAGTGACTTTTTAGTCTTGGATCATTACTGTCCCTACTGGCCAAATATAGTTGTCTTTTGTGTTTACATGAAGTTTTTATTCCAATTGTTATCCAGGTGGATTTGTTTTTATTTTCATTTTTGACTATTTTTAAGGGAAAGCTTGAATAAAAGATCCTCAAGTATGTGTTCAGAAAGCAATTAAATTTAGAATCAATATTATTGCTGTCAAATACATTGTCCCATGATTCATTACTTAATTTTGTGACAAAATCTGCCATCGTATGCTTGTTGATTTTCCTTACTGTTTGATATTGTTGATTACTGGGCTGAAGGTCAATATTATTTATTTCTATGAGTTGAGCATCATGATCGGATAAGCCATTTATAAAGGGTCCTACAGTATAGTCTCTTAATTTTGAGTTATCAATGAATATATTATCTATCGCTGAACTAGAATTATTTTGAACTCTTGTGGGAAAGTTAACAGTACTGGAGAGATTGTAAGATGATAACAAAGAGTCTAAATTTAGTTTCCTATTACTGTCGATGAGATAGTTTATATTTATATCACCACAAATTATAAATTCAACTTTTGAACTATGCAGTACATTTAGGATGGTTTCTAATCTATTTATAAAGTGATCGAAGTTTCCAGATGGGGCTCTATATAAAGTCAGTATACAAATATTAGAAAAAGGAGAGTCTAACTTTAGAGCACATGCTTCCAGATCCTGGTCTTTGCAATAATCTTCTAAATTTATTTTAGTAAATTTTAGGTTTTCGTGTACAAAAATACTCACTCCTCCTTTCTCCAGTGTTTTCCTACAGTATCTAGCACCTAAATTATAATTTTCTAAGTGAAGATGTTCTAATTCCAGCTGTTTCATGTGACGTTCAGTAAGGCACAGTATGTGTGGAAGATTTGAATTCATGGAACTTATTAGTTCATTTGTTTTGTTTCTCAATCCTCTTATATTCTGATGGAATATTCTTAGTACTTTATAATTAATTGAATTTAGTAGACTGCAATTACCTTTTCCGATTTCTATTGGTTCACTTACATTACTGTCTGAAAGATTAGTTTCTTTTGCAATTTCTTTTACTTGATAAACTTTACTTGCACTCTTTATCCTAAAAATGATTCTGAACACCCATGACAACTGGAACGTGTCTGCCCTTAATGCTCTCTGCAATGAGTCGCGTCAGCTTGTCCTTGCCTCGAGGATTAAGATGCAAACCATGGACAGTATGTTCGCTCCTCAATATTGAAGTAATACTATTCGACCGATAATGGACTTCATTTGTTTGTTTCTGAAGTCTCCATCAGGTTCACTATGCTTCTTCATGTGGAACTGTAGGTCATTCACACTAGTGGCGACTAGTCTGTGGTTAAGTTTGTTTAGCTCTCTGTAGCCAAGCCAAAAGTGAAAGTAAATCAGAAAACTAAGTTACAGCTGTATCCGCAGGAATTCGAAGGAGAAATGATTACTACCGATAAAAAAATTTCTTATTGCTGAGCATGTGAAAAAACAGTTGGTTGTGATAAGCGCTTTCAAGTGCTTCATCATCTGAACATTAATATACACAAAGAGAATATTAAAATTAAAACCACAAAAAGTGCTCCTTTTCGTAAATTGCTTTGTAATTTTTTTAAAAATAATTTCTCACAGTTCTCCTCTGCCTTGCGGCAGATAGTCCGCTTTGGAAACTAACCAATCCTACTTTGAGAAACTTCACAAAGAAGTGTACAAGTGCAAAGTGCCAGATCAATCTACTGTGTGCAAAAATTACGTGAAGCAGTGTTACGATCTTACAATTGAAAACATTAGAGATAACATTCAAGATAACATTCAAGTGTGGATATCAATGGATGAAACCCAACACTGTGAGGGATGGGTTATTGCAAATATTATACAACCATAGTCAATAAGTTAGTGGACTGACCGCAAAGCATCGTTGCACTGCACTACAGTGGATAGGTTGAAGCACAATATGATGCCCTGTCAGTTCACATCTCGTCACAGCAAGAGGCAGTTGTGTGCAAACAGTGTAAGCAGAACTATGGCCTCTATTGTGAACTGAAGTTAAATGCGAGTGGTGGAAATCAAAGATGTGGCAGTCTGAACAATGGGCAAATCCCCTAGCAAAATGTTTAACATGATGAAGCAAGTGTACAGCGAATAAGCTTTGGGCCACAGTGCCGTGTTAAAGTGGTACCAACATTTTGCGCAGGGGTGAGACAGTTTGGCTTATGAGCGTAGTGGTCGGCCAAGAGACGGTCAGAACTGAACACAAGATCAAAGAAGTTGCAACGTTGGTACGTGCCAACTGCTCCCAATTGATAGATGATACCACAGCAGCAGTAGGGATAAGCCATGGTACATCCCACAAAATTCTCACTGATGACCTGAACATGTCATGTGTTACCCAGAACTGTGTTCCACGCGTCCTGACACAAGACCAACGTCTCAATCACAAGACCATTTGTGGTGATTTGTATCAGTAGTGCTGACAAAGATGAGACATCTGTCAACCAGATCATTACAAAAGATGAAACATGGTGTTTTCTTTATGTTCTGCAACTGAAGCGACAATTGACCACCTGGAAATCACCATCATCGCCAATAAAGAAGAAACTGCGACATGAAAGGTCAAAAGGCAAGGTGGGTGCTTGAACTGTTTTAACCAATTTCAATAAAATTCAACAATAACTGGAACTGACTGTAACCAAATTATAGAACAATTAAGTAGAAAAAGCAATCAAGTGCAATAATTACATAAAATTATTTAACTGATAAGTTTCTTAATTACTTACTTACTTACTTATGGAGCTGAGCCCTCTTGAGGAGATGCCAATTCTGCAGCTACTCAAGAATTTCCCAGTATTTTATGGAACCCGAAGGTTCGTTACCGTGTTCACAAGAGCCCTCCACTGGTCCCTATACTGAGCCAGATCAATCCAATCCATACCATCCAATCCCATCTCTCTAAGATCCATTTTAGTACTGTCCACCCACCTATACCTTGGTCTTCCCACTGGTCTTTTTCCTTCTGGCTTTCCCATCAACATCCTATATGTGTTCCTCTTCTCCCCATTCATGCTACATGCCCTGCCCACCTCATTCTCATTGACTTTATCATTCTAATTATACTTGGAGAAGAGTACAAGTTAATAACCTTATAAGGTCAAAATATATTGAAGCACCATCCATAAAAGTGACAATATAGTACGCCAACAGTCTACAAGCATGGCAATAAGTTGCTCCTTCAAAGCTGCTACCGCAAACTAAACCACTAAACAATACAGTATTACACTCCAATCCTGTTTATGTTACAATGCAATGTCATCCTGAAAAGAAAAACATAGCAGTGCTCATGTGCATCTGAAATGTGCTATGATTCACACTAGCAGCACAGTTTGAGATGTTTATTTAAGTGGTATATAAATTACATATGGATGTCTCACCTCTTCACATTGCAAAGAAGAACTGTAAGATTCTTCTGGCTGCTGAGATATAACATTTCTTGGATAAAATTCTTCAGCATTAACAGATAATTTTGAAGTCTTTGATATGTTCTCTTCAGCATCTGGATCAAGTTGAACATTATTACTGTTCACTGCAATACCTGACGCAAGAAATATAAATCAACACACAGCAACTTGAATATTACGAACAATACAACTACTAGTGTTAAGCTAATTTACATTCATGTGCACCATTAACACAATACATCTTATCACAAGATTGCCCACATACATCAACGCATGGTAGCTGGAAAAAAGCATTACACCTATGAGAAAAGAAGTAACAGAAGAATAACAAAAATTATGCAATGACACTGTTTAATTACAGTCTCACACACAAAGTTTCAAGAAATCTGTATACGAGTTTAGGTGTTAGTACGAGATCACAGATAGACAGAAAGAAAGACGAGACACCTTCCTTATGTTGTACAAACCCTGAAAAAGAATACTTTCAGTGATGCGAGTTTTACCAAACATAGGAAACAAATAGGTTAAATAAAAGCTTTTAAACAGTTATCTTGAACGAATTCCATTCTGATAACGCCCTACGTTGGTTATGGCCATGCAGAGACCCGTTGCTAGGTAACAACAGCAAAACAAACAACAAAACAACGGTTGCGGCTAGACAACAGATTCTCAATATGCAAATAATACATGCAACCATTACTGAGTACTGCCTTTGCAAACAAACATGTTCCCACAGCCATGAATCCATACACAACAACAGAAGAATTACTGGAAAAGGTGTCTTCTATGTGGGCCATGCCAAGGGGTTACCAATGGGAGAGGTTTATTGTTAAGACCCTCAAATGACTAGCAAAAGTAGAATGAGAAGACTTAGCAAGTGCTCTAGTGATTTGTAGAGTGTGGAGATTGGCAACAGCACTATAATTCCTTGTATGTACATATAACACTTCAGTGGCCTGCATACCAATTCTCTTTTCTGTTTGTGGACGCCGCAACTCTTTGCGATTCTGTCCTTGCTGCCAAATTCCACGACCTCTTCCCTTAGGTACAGATGATTCTTCTACAGGATTCATTACTACCTGTAAGTTGTAATCAAGCATAAATTTCATCCTCCTTCTGAAAGTTAAGTTGCTAACTAACTACACAGAACTGAGCCCTTCTTGAGAAGCCGTCAGTTGTGCACCTACTCAAGAAATTTCCAGCATTTTATGGAACCCAAAGGCTTGTTACTGTGTTCACAAGAGCCCTCCACTGATCCCTACCCTGAAGCAGATCAATCCAATCTTTACCACCCTATCCTCTTTAAGATACACCTTAATATTATCCACCCACCTACATCTTGGTCTTCCTAGTGGTGTCTTTCCTTCTCGCTTTCTCATCAATATCTTATATGCACACCTCTTCTCCCCATTCATGCTACACTCTCTACCCATCTCATCCTCCTTGACTTGGGCGAAGAATAAGTAAAAAAAAGTAAAGCTATCCCTGTAACAGGCCATGAAGGCCCATAGGGTTGTGAGATGTTGAGGGTCCCACATTATCTAGACAATCAGCTCAAAGATGGCGGTAAGGTTGTCAGCCTTATGCACCAGCCATGCTTTACTCCCCAGGAAAATTATTTAATTCATTCCTGGTACTCATTTCTGTTAGAGGCTGAGTCGACCCCAGGGCCCTAGTGCGGCTGGAAGGATTAGGTCAATTGAGGAAATCCAATGACCTCATTGGGACTTGAACCCGCGACCTTCCGGCTTGTAGCATAGTGCCTCAACCAACTATGCTACTGCGTGCCCCCTTGGGAGAAGAGTACAAGTTATAAAGCTCCTCATTATGAAGTTTTCTCCAACCTATTATCTAATCCCTCTTCGGTTCAAATACTCTCCTCAGCATCCTGCACTCTCAACATCCTCAGCCCATATTTGCCTTTAATGTCTGAGCCCAAATTTCACTACCATACAAAACTAAAAGCAAAATTAAAAGTATTCAGTATTTCAATATTTATGTCTTTAGATGAAATGTGAGAAAACAAAAGATTCTGAACTGAAAGGCATCACCACAGAACAGAAGCTGCTGTGTCCCAGTCAACTTCAATCTTATTTAGTTTTCTTGGACCTTCCTACTGGCATATCTTAAACAACATTTAAAAGTAATGGCAATAACAAATCTCCTCATTTCAGACCACTTTGTATAGCAAACATACAAGACAAATGTTTACCTGTAGGGATTTTACTTTAGGTCTCATTTAAACAGATTTTAATTAGTCTAACTCGTTTAATGGGCATACTAAACTCAAGACAACACTTGACAATACTTCCTTCCTAACTTGAAGTCTACAAATAGGTGATGTATTGTCTCACTGTACTCCCATTTTTCCCACAGTTCCTGACAGATGGAAAAAATTGGATCGGTAGCTTGTCTATTACATCGAAACTCACAATGATTCTCAATAACTTGTCTGTGTATGTAGTTAAACTTGCGAAAAGAACACTTAATAAAATTTCATATCATACTGACAATTACATGTCTCTACAATTATTATTCTATTTTATCCTTCTTGTAATTAGCTACAATAACATTTCTTCCACGGTTGAAGCAATTCGAAATGTCATCTTCCGCTTGGATCAGTTCTGCCAGAATTTGATTAATACCTGGGTGATTTCAACATTTCAACTGCAGTTTCAATCACACAGTGCCTACGCTCTGGTACAAATGGCTCAGTGCATGTGTATCCAATTGCCTAAAATTACTAACCACTAGCACATGCAATATCTAAGCCATCTGAGCAACGTAACTCTTCCGACGGTTACAGTAGAGTACAATATATATTTGTGATAAAAAATCAAATTCTTGACCGACATGAAAATATTTCTGGATATTTGCAATCCCAATTTAATTTCACCAGTAATAAATAAATCGAAGTTACTCACACAGGACTTCTATTTATCGTGTGCTTGTAAAAGATGTCAATCATACCACATGCTTCACATCAACTTCTATACTCCTTCCGTTAGGACACCGCTTATCCCGCTTTTCGCCGCTTACAATGTGGATAATCTTAATAGATCTTGATACCGCTTGATACTATTCACACGGATCACTGATAAATACGGAAGAAAAGTGTTCCATAAACCAACACACTTATCCCTAAACCTTTCTTCCCAATCAGTTCCCAACGAACCCAGTTTTACTAGTTGGCAACGTAACCGCCTTGGCGGCCTTCACGTGGCCCAATCGTTCACGTCACTAATGCACCTAATGCATCATGCTGCCAACTACTCCACGTTCAGGATATTGCTGTATAGTAGCTGTTTCCACTTCCGAGAGCTCAGTCGGTAAGAAGGTTAACTACTATTGCAATAGCCCACCATGTCTAGCTTGTTTACCTTGTCCACCTTGTCTACCTTGCTGGTCCATCACACTACCCTATACGTTCCAGCCCCTTTCCTCCGAGTTCACGAAGTAGCAGAGAATAATTCTGCCACCGTATTCTCTTGTAATGCAGAGGTTCTTACTCCATTTAATCAAATAAAGAGCCTTGTTGAGCTTTTGCCATACATATTGAGTGTGAGTTGCCCAGCTTAGATTTTCAGTAATACAAATACCCAAAAATTTTACATTCGATGAATAAATTATTTCCTTATTATTTAAGCCAAACCAGGTCTATAGATTTGAGTAGGTCTTCTTCCCTGAAAGAATAATACTTTAGTCTTATCTGTGTTTATTATGAGATGATTTTCATGGAACCAATTATCTAATTGATTCCTAATATTTAGGATTTTTTCATTTAATGATAAGAGATTATTGTCAGTAAGTAGTATATTTGTATTATCAGCAAATAATATGACCTTCACCTCATGAATAGCTAGGGGCAAATCATTTATGAACAATGAAAATAATAGGAGTCCAAAAACAGAACCTTGATATACTCCATCAAGTTAGTTAGCTAGTTAGTTAGTTAGTTAGTCAGTCATTTATAGTGCCTTTTTAAGAATGTAGATTAGTTATAGCATTATAATTATTTGTAGTTTCTAGTTCTAAGTGTTCAATCAATCCAGTTACCATCTAGTCCATGTCTAGTCACTAATACATGACAATGTGTTACTATCTGTGACATAATCTACATAACCTGTATTTCATAACAGAATATAATATTTCATAGAACACAGAGCAGTGATTCTTACCTGTAGCCACCAAAGCACTGAGGCTTGCTGCAACATCACGACTCTTTACTTGTTCAACTAAGTTTACTTTCATAGTTCTCTGTGCAATGGGGTTGATGTGGGTGTCTGTCAGCTTATACAAACGCAGCTGACAAAATGGTCTGGGTGTGTCAAGTTCATACAATTTCAAGACGTGTTCCCACCTAGTGATAAGAGGAAGTCAGTTGCCCAGTTTTTCAGATTTCAATTCCACACAGTACTTCAGAAGAAGTTTTCAACTGCACTTCAATTGGTGGGAAGGATCACATACCCTTGAAGTTCCTTGATTATAAAATCTGAAGAATGGTTCCTTTATGGTGGCAGCCAACAGTTTCAAGACCTTGACATTGTTTGGAGCCCACATCACAGACAGTGGTAACAACCTTCAGTCCAGTATTCTGAGAGGTGTCAAGAGCTTCCTTCAAGAACTGCACAATCATCTCTGCCTCAGAGCTTCCACCAGCTGTGTTTAGTTTGTATGTAGTCCATGGATCATGAGAACTAGAGCATGATTTGCATTGTTGTGTGTCTTGCCCTGACTTTCTTGATCTTCAAAAGCCTCAATGCAGTCAAGCTTCTGACTGCAAGTTAAGTTCTCTCTGATGGGCATTTCATCGAATGTGAAACAAAAATTTTCTTCAGAGAATACTGACGTCCATCAAACGTGCCTGTCCTCAACAGGCCAGTAATAAGGACAGATTGCAAGGTTCATCAAGATGGCAAGAAGAATAGCGTCTGGAGAAGGATACAGGATTTTGGGATACATTTAAAGAGAGACAAAGCCAACATTTTCTACTCAAAATTCAATTTCCTGCCCTTAGGCATCTGCCTGTTGTTCCTAATAATTGCTGTCAAAATACTGAGTGCCTCTAAACCAAAGAAGATGAAAGAATCTCCATCAATGGATCACTGCCTGCTTCACAAACTTTTTTATTTTCTTTATGAGTTCACAACCAACACTCTTCTTGAAGAAAGCAGTCTTCTGGTATGTGGCTCCATGTAGATCTCAAATATTACATAACACTCTTCTTATTCTGAATATGTTCATACAGTTTCCCTTTTCTGGGTTTCAATTCTAAAAGTGAAGCCAGATTAAGTTTTCTTAGCAGAGAATGTCTTGCGCTAGGCTTTAAGGAAGAACTTCGACAGTATATATACATGAGTTCTCTTCGCGGTGTGACTTGTGTGACTTTGTGTATGTGTTTGATACTAATTCCACATCCTGGGTTTGTTCCCTGTATGGATGTTTATGGAAAGTGGAGGATGTGTATGTATGTATATGACGAGGCCTGTATCAATGTATTTTGATTTATGGGAAAATTATATTAATTTTAAGTTTTCATAGTAATGCACTTTTTAAATTATGTTAATTACAATTGTAATAAGCTCTTGTTTTTTTTTATATATTACCTATGTTAGTTAACTGGTGTGTGTTATTTTAGTTGTGTGACTTATGTTATCTATTACATGTATACATCTATAATCAAATGGACTATTTCCACATCCTAGGATTTTTGCCTGTATGGATATATGGAAAATAAAGGAAATGATGATGATGAATGATCAGAAACATTTATTTTCACAGAGCTCAGGGGAGAAGATGTTTCTTTCACAACAAAGATGTTGGCTACTGCTGGTGACAGTTGGACTGCAGACATTAGGAAGGAAGTGGAAGGTCAATTTGCAAGCATAGAAATAGTTGCAGTGGAGGACACCAATGTTTTGCTATGGGGTCTGGTGGATGATAGGACATAAATATCACCTTTGGGAGTTGGGACTGAAGGCAAGGGATCAAAGGAAAGGCTGTGTAGTGAAGGGACAAGAAGTTGTGCCATAGCGTTATGTTCCATAAGATAGAACTCTTCATAATGACTGCAAAGAGTAACTCACACCCTACACACATATAAGATCATTTTTAACCTGTATTATATTCTAAGTTGAAAAACGAACCTAATTATCTTGGGAGAACATATATTTAGGAGTAAGGTGAAACTAAAAGAGCTATAAATCATAAATTACTGTGCTGGAAGCACGTGGTCAGCACCTTCATTCCTACTGTGTATAACATAAGCATATTTATTAGAGTCCATGAACTTATTCATAATCACCTCAGGAACGCATCCCTTGTGACAGTGGATAGTTTGGTGTTTACTTTATTAGCTTTCTCTAATTGTGAGTTTCTCCACCGAGTAAGCTGAATCTTTATAAAAGCAGTTTCCTCTTTGTTTTTCACTAAAATTAGAAGATATGGAACAGTGGAAATCAAAGGAGAAGAAATAGGAATACAAGTTTTTATGCATATTCAAATTCTGTTGATAATGCAGCATAATAACTTCACAGTTAATTTCAGGATCAACATAGATGGCGCTAGTGTCGGCCTCATCTCACAATTTCATGCATCCATCACGTCCATCATGTTGGTATTACTGGTTGTAGGAACCTCAAATTCAAATTCGCTTAGTGGGTCCACTCGGCACAGCAGCCACTGATTGGCCTATTGTACCTGCCCCGGGTGATTATAATGATGGAGAATTTGGTTTGGTGGCATGAGGATTGGCAGGGGAAACCGAAATACTCGGAGAAAAACCGCCCCAGCCCCACTTTCTCCATCACAAATCCCATTTGACCAGACCCGGGCTCGAACCCTGGCCGTCGCGGTGGGAAGCCAGCGACTAACCGCTTGAGCTATGGCGCGGCCGTTGTAGGAACCTAAAAAGTAGAAGTTCGGTGTAGCCTCCAATGACATAATGTCCATAAATAATACCATAAAATTAGTCAGATAGTTAATTTGGAATATTGTTCCTGACCCAAGAAATCTTTCCTGAAGGTAGCATGCAGGAGAATGACTTATGGTCTGGTGGTAGCTACCATTCGGAGGAAACATCGCAATAAGCGACAATGGTAGCTTGCGTGTGACAGTGACTTGTCAGGTGGCGACACTGGAGAAAATTTCCTTAGCCTTGTTCCTTTTTAAAAAAGTGAAGTAATTGTGCATAATTGCCTTATGGATAATATTGCCCAACATTAATTGCGGGGAATTACCGCTTTATCTGATTTTCCGTTATCGAGAAAATAACGTAACAATAATTTCCTTTGATTCAATGTAACTAATGCTCGAAATGACCATTAGGCTACAAATGTTTCCAGGTCTCAGAAGGCAAGACAAGGAACGCGATGAATATGACGGAATAGCGAGGTATGTCCCGTCCCATCTTGCCCCCAACATATACAGTAGAACTTGGTTATAACGTCTTCAAAGGGACCTAAAAATAGTGTCGTTATAAACGAATGTCGTAACCGAAATGGGCACTTCCACAGTAGCCTTATGTTAGTCACGTAAAAATCTACCAAAACCCGAGTTAAAATGTTGCATTTTTAGTGAAATACGTAGTTAAGTACAGACTAACGTAACATTAACGTGGAATTGCCCAAATGCGTAATATCAAAGACATATTACAGCGCTTTTCACTGACAGTACACACCGCACTAATACTGTATATTAAAGGTAGGCCCACTCACCAAATTACAGTAGATTACATCAATTGTTGTACCTTACTGTACCTAGATACGAGTACAGTAATCAGTTATCTTCATCTGTTTCCTGTTACTTTCCCAATACACACTTTCTAAATTACGTTCAATGTCCATATCAGAGAAATTCAGGAATGAAAATGACGTTACACACGAGGTTTATGCATTTGTGCATGTCGTACTAAGCAAGGTATAAAAACAGTTGCTTTATGAGGAATTAGTTCGAACCATTGAATATTTGACGCAATAGACAAGGTGTCGCAGAAACCGATGTTGCTATAACCAAGTTTTACTGTACTTAAAAAACGTAGAATTCCTCTGCCGTTTTCTACGTATTTCACCACACTAGTGGCGTGCGGTACTATTTTTGGTAAGGGAAGCAGTGGTATCTAATAAACGAACTGATAGCAATCAACTCACCAAAATTTACGCCACTTATTGAGTCAATAAGGTCGTTCTGCATTCTGTTCGATAAACCTGTAAATACTGTACTGTTCTCAAGGTGAACATTGAATTTATGCTCGTATTTCCTCAACAAGTGAGCTAATTCCACATAATTACCTCGGTCGATAGAATCCATGCTTTTGTCATGACCACGGATGGCAAGTTGCCTCTTTCCTAAATGGCAGATGATATCAATCAAGCATTTCATTATTTCTCTATTTGCTTTCACATTTTTATTATGCTGTAGTATCATCAGGCTCTTTTGATTGTCAAGTTGACTGTCAATTCGAGATTTCCCAAACATAACACGTTGCATTATTGAAATAATGTGAGTCTGAGAATTCTCATGTCGTTTCAATGCTTTATGAAGGTTGTTGATATCACCAAACCCAGTCTTGTTCCATACATTCTTTTCAATGAGAAACAATAGGCATGGACAACAAAACAATTTTCCTATATTACTGCAACCGGATAGCCACTCTGTTTTAGAATACTGTTCCAAATTAAATTTCCTCACACATAATTTGGTTTGTGCTTTAAGTTCTAGCAAATCGCATGTCAGTTGTCTTCTTCCTATAATTATTTTCTTTTCAGAAAAGTCCCTGCTATTAAACAGCCGTTTTACAAGGCTTTCGATTGCACAGTCGCAGTCGCGTTGTCTGCTAGCATTCGTTTTAGCTGTGCCTGTGCGTGTAGTCTAATCACGCCCCTGCCCTTGTACTACAATATGACACTTGCTTCCCTTAAACGCATGTGGCTTGAACAGGAACACGCGCTAAATGTCAATATTCACATCCTTATTATTCAAATTGACTTATTTATATGACTTCTCTTCTTTTCGTTTCTTAACTACGGAAGCGATGCTTCCCTTGCTTCCATGCATGGCACGCCACTGCACCACATGCAATAGCTACTGCTTCTCATATGGCTCATTATAGACCCGCGCTCTTTCCAGTAATCTACCAAATGTTCATAAATTACCAACACAAAATTTAGCACAATGGTTGCAAATGACCAAGATAATTGTATCAGCTGAGGTAGAACACAAATGGGCTCATTTTATGCTCATGTGATTGTGTTCACCAATATCAATTGCTTCTCAGACAAACACTGAAGTGGACGACTACTTCCAAGCATTATGTACTGCGAGCAGCAGTTGCTATCTGTATTGCCTCTGTACCCCTTCCTTCTCCGTTTCCTCTAGGCACGTACAAATATTTTATAATAATTGCATGAAGTCAATGCACATTAAGAGGCGAAAAAATGAATCGTTGCCAAAGATACGGCGATCTCCCTACAGGTGACCTGATATTCTCTCGAACTCAGACACACTGCAATAATAGAACAGCAGAGCAGTAATGAGCGAAACAAACATATTTTTCTATATCGCTCCTTGGGGTGCATTTTATTGTTGCTTTTTCTACAACAATTGCAGTTCGGCAAAGAATTGTCAAAATATGTGACATTAATCTCAATTAGGTAACCAGTTATAAAATTTACGAACAGGTTAATAATTCTCGCTTTCTTGTATCATGGTACATTAAGAACTCCAAAACATACGAAAATAGTCTGACATGAAATATGTATTTTATTTGTCTCTACAAATGTTGTTCGAAACACATAGGCCTAATCCAATAAATATTTAATGTGTCAAATTCGAGACGCTAATAAACAAAGGAACAAAAAAAATTTGTGAGCAGTCTCTTTTAACTTCTGTCATTTAAACAAAGCTCGAAATGGGTGAACGCGTTATATTATACGAGTACATCCCAAGTGCTGAATTTCGTGAAAAATCTGTTCGGCGTTTCTCAAGTTGTTGCATGCCAGGGCAGACATGAGGAAACACAGACTTGGCGAAGACTGCATGATTCTTCCATAACTTATTACAAAAGCTCCTAAGTGAATGCAATGAGGGGAATACATTTATATTTTACTAAAATAACGGTTGTAACTGAATAGCAAATTATATTTTGAACAAATTTATATTTATTTAAACCGAACAATTAAAGCGAGGAGAAAATTCGTTCTATCATTATATACAATAAAAGACTTTGACTTTCTTCATGTATTTTCGGTAGTCCACCTTACTCTAACTTCGGTTCAATTATCTAGAGTTCTACAAAGTTCACGGAAAGGGTGTACTGCACGTAAGAATTGTTTTGTTCTTCTCTGCAATTTTTCGGTCGGAACATTTTTGTTCCAATCAATATTTAGCTAGTTGTCCTCGAGATGCGTGCAGAAACGGGTGGTCTTCGCGTAAAAGTCGGTTGTTTTTTATCCGTTTTATCCAAAATTGAAAATTTCGACAAACTTCAGTGAAATTCTATGAATACCGGCAGGGACACCGTGTGTTCTAACTCAGGTTTATCGTGTTCTTCCTTAGTCATTCGGTACAGGTGCGGAAAAGAGACTAACCAGGCCACGACGCCTTCCTTCCAAACACTTTCCAACTCCCCATTAATGATTCATCCTACCATTAGACGCTGTATAGAACAGAAACTGACGTCGTAAATGACACTCCATTAAAAAAGAATCAAAACAAAGGCAAGTGATAGGCAACCTTTATCATAATTGTGCAACATTCCACAAAACAATGGACTAAATACTTAGCCACAACATGAATATGCTAGAATGGCAAACAACTCCACAGTATTGGGTTTAAATATTCCATCACGAGTCCTTGTTCTAGAAAGATAAAAGCGTTTTTTTCGAAAATATTCGTTATTATGTATATAATATACTAAATACAAAATCACGCAACTACCTTCCCCCACCCCACACACCAGCACGTCATTGTTAATGGACACATGTGTGTATAAATTGAAGGAAACTCAACCAAGCCTTCATTCCAAGAAGACACCTCCGCTTGTAACAGGTAATGTTATTGGTTAATATAATATTTAAATTACGTATTACGGTCTCGAGGGACAAAAATTGCTTCCAGTTTGAGGCCGGATTATGTGGCTCTTATTACTCGTACTCGGAAATCCTAACTGTGTCTGTGTTTTGGAACTGCTGATCAACTCGGCAGGATTCAAGTTTTATTACATTCTACCCTAAGTTATCTTCTAACCAGGTCGTATCTTCGAAAAATCCATTTTCAATTCATCCTTACATCTACAAGGAGGCCTAATAGTGTTACAAATTACAAGAACTGGAAGTTGGTACGAGATAGTCGCCAGCATGAGAGGATGTGAGACCGGGAGCAGAAGAATATCCAATGTTAGAAGCCGTTAGCAAACAGCGCGCTGAAAACCGTGACGGAGAACACTAGTCTTTGTATGATGGTGACTTGTAAAGTTTAGTCACAAGTTGTGTGTTAAATTGTCCAATAAATCCGATGATCACCCAAATGCGCGACAATATTATCCATTTATCCATACATAGGCCACAAAATTTGTATCGCAAATTATATTCCGTACACATTCATCATGTATAACATGCGTCGTACACATTTTAAACATATCATTCTTTTGTTTTAATAATTTCTGAAATAAGCGAAGAGTGTATAGAGACGGAAACTAATAATTGTGTAATTTTCTCCCTACACTACTGCCGCATCTCCTCTGGCTGAGTCTGAGCGCTTTATTTATCGGCAGCTCCGTGTAATGAGAACAGGCTCCCCTAACAGTGCGTGACATCTCGTGACGTATTCAGAAAATCTGCAGACCAATTCAGAAATACTTCCATACTTGAAGGGTGCGCTTAATTTTCTCGTAATATCTCTGACTACAGTACAAGTGCTGTAGAAACTTAGATCGTATCTCACAAAACACCCAGTACTTGAATCACTACAGGTTATGTTCTCCTTCTTCGTGAAGTGGGATATAAACTCAACTCTTGAAAATAATTCAGTCCTTCCGTAAATAATCAGTAGTTATCGGGGGTCAGAAGTTACGTCAATCTTTCATAAGTTTAAAGCACGTGCGTTTATACAGTGTCATTTCAATCGAGGTTTCTCACCACATTCTACTTCTGTAAGTGTCTTTTGCATACTAATCTAGGCCTTCCAAATTGCCATTATTTTCTGACCTACCAGCGAATATCATCTTTTATACCATTCTGTTTCTATCTTCAATTTCATACTTCCTCCCTCTCTTTCTTTCTCTCTAAATATCTTGCTTCTGTTTTATTTTTTGTTACTTATTTCAACTTCGTCCAGGGGCCGTCTCTTAAATCACATTTCCAAGAACAATTTGATTCAGTTGCACTTACGAAGAAAACAAAGCGTATACATCTGAATGCGAATTGTTCTATTTTACTTTAGGTAATTCACAGCCTCACATCTCGACGCAATGAAGTCTTTCGTGTGCTTTGTCTTACTGCTCTGCGTTCTGACAGCAATGCAGGTAAGCAACCATTCTACAAAATATTCTTTTCTAGTGTTACACCGAGATAAACGGCCCGGGGATCCGTTGCGCTGACCACGTGACACCCCTTTATTCTCAAAAATTGGTACTAACTTCGCCGACAAGCGGGGGTCCTTCGGTCGGAATAGTTCGCTTGCTGACTACAGGCCACGGAGTTTATTTTGTTACACCGAACTCCACACTGTTCACTTTTTGCCTTTTTACCATTCATGTCAAACTACCCTTCTGCCTCTTAAGTACGACATCTTTGCAAAGATATATGAATGAGTATGAGTATGAGTACATATATCACAAATTTGACTTTTTTTCTGCCAGTTCATTTGAAATTACAGAGGAGAAGCAATATTCATACGTCGTGCGTTCAAATTCTAAGGTCTCCGATTTTTTCTCACACAATAACCATACAAACAATTTGAAACTTCTGTCACTTTTCAACGTAATCTCCCTGCAGCCATACACATTTTTCATAATGTCGACACCTTGATTCCATGGCAGCTATGAACGCTTCTGTAGAAGTCTGTTTTGACCACTGGAAAATCGCGCTTTGTTTCAGGATTGAAAAACGGCATCCATGTCTCATCCATTGTCACAACTGATGAAAACAAAGTCCCATTCATGCCTTCATCACGTGTCAACATCGCCTGGCAAATTGCCATGCACAGCCTTGTGGTTGTCCACCAGAATTTGTGGCACCCACATGGAGGACATTCGCAGGTCTTCATGCAGGATTATGTGCACAGATCCCACGGAAATGCCAACTTTGGAGGCAATGTTTTCCACACTCAATCGGCGATCCTCCAAAACAACTTTCTCAACTCGGTCGAACATGTTGTCAGACCAGCTGGTGCAAGGCCGAGATTGTTTTGATTCGTTGTCACACGACATTCGGCCTTCTTTGAACTGTCACACCCACAAACGTACATTTTTCACATTCATGACACCATCACCACATGTCTCACTCAACTGGCGATGAATTTCAATGCGTGTCACGCCACGCAAGTGGAGAAAACGAATGATTACTCGCTGTTATTTTAACGAAAACGTCGCCGTTTTAAGTATCAAAAACACTGCTCACTCTCGCTGCCTCCACTAGAGTTCTGTGTGCTGTACAGTGCTGCCATCTCTGTCACGCATTCACAAAGAGTGCACACGTATTTTAAACTAAACCGCATGTGTCTATCTGCTCCCAGTCCGGAGAAAAAAAAATCGGAGACCTTAGAACTTGAACGCCCTCGTAGAGTCAGTGTCCGAGCCGAGAGATTCGAATACAAATCTCCAGAGAGCTTAGCACGCCCAGTTCACGGTACTTTCTACCGCATTAAAGGCAAAAAGCCTAAGGCTCTTGTATTCTTCGATATCTAGAAATCATTTAATAAAGCATGGCTCCCTAACACGTTATAAGCATAGAGTTTCTCAGTATCAGAAATTTCGACCAGCATGGCCAAACCGGGGTAAATCATTTCTGTGAAACAAGAAATTCGAAGGAAGTCGTCTTCTGGGTTTAAGCGCCGTGTATTCTTCGCCTTTCTCTCCCTATCACTACAGCTACTGCTCTCTGCATTCCAAGCCATTCAACTGCTCTGAAGATGGAGGCGATACGTTCCTCCGAAACGTCGGCCAAAACGAAGAATACACGGCGCCTAAACCCAGAAGACGACTTTCTTCATAGTCATCGCCGTGAAAACCTCAAAACTTACAAGAAATTCGAAGTTTAGGATCAACGGCAAGATATTTACACCCACAGAAATAGAAGTAGAGGTACCACAAAGTCGCTGCCTGCTTCCAGTTCTCCTAGATTGGTAAAGGCCTTATACGTATTGCTCTCTGTAAACACTGTAATATGTTTCAAACATAAATACATAAATATATTTATGAGTCTGGTAATTCATCATGACATCTGACTCTTAACAAGTCCGTCGTCTCGTCAGGCAAGGAGCCTCAAGAAGAACAACGGTCGAATTCATGACTATAAAATCTTGTCATGAGCCGCAAAGGAAGTTCTGTATCAAGAAGAAGTGACAAAATAATTGATCGTCAGCCGACAAGAGGCTCGAGTTGGGCCATCTCTAATGGGCTGCAGCAAGCATAACCACATAAATACACTCGTTGCTATAAATTTTTCGCAATGCCAGGATTTTCACCGCACTGACAAGACTTATATTATAAACGCACATGTTTCTCAATCGAAAAGTTCATCCATTCGCCAGAATCTTGGAGGAAATGTTTCACGAGGGCCACTGCTGAACCACTCTGAACTACCAATGCCTTCGAGGCTTAATTTTCTCCCTATTCTCTTACTTCATCCCCCATATGTCAAAAATTCTTCAAAGCACTTTGATTTCAAATAACCCCATGCTGTGCTTTCCATATAATTTGAAATTTGAATCCGTATTTGCAGTTTATGCATCATATTAGCTCGCAGCTAAGAAGGGAACACACATCACAAGACACGGTTTACACAGAATATAAGAAAAACGACCCCCATAGTGGAAGAACCACATACAAGTTTTAATTAAGACACATAAGATGAATAATCTTAACAAGTTGTAGTGTGTGTAATTTTATTATAGTTGACAAATACGCACTTTTTAAATGCTTTTATAAAGACATATAAAGGCAAGCAATGCAATGGATTAGCGTAATTAGGGCACCTGATGATGGCACTATGTTGCCGAAACATGTCGTGAAGTAACAGGTGAAATTGAGTGCACTACAAGACGGCCACTGTATACATATCATGGACCCAAACTAATCACTTTCGTATTATTTATGTTTCAGGATTTCCGCCGTGACTTATTCGTTAGTGGTAAGTAAAGAGCTATACGTGTATCAATTTGTGATAGAGAAAGGGAGGATTCTGATACTACACCAATATATACTTGAATAATTCTAAAAGGCTGTATAAATTACGTGGTTCAACGTTATATTTCCTTCCGCAAAAATACATTAATCATTTAAGTGGTCAAATACTCTCTTCTTTTACGTCGCCGGAATTTTAAAGCGGAATTCCAAAATTGGACTCTTTGTCCAGCCAATTGATTTAAGTCCGTATTCTCCTTACGTGTTCCTTTTAAGATTTTTTCCCTTGGCACTACAGCCCCAGTGGGCCTAGGCCTACCTCCATGAACTTCTCCGTTCACTTCGGTTTTCCTAGATTTTACACATTCGGTAGGACTCCTTGGGCGGGTGATCAGCTCGCCGCAAGGCCTCTACCTGTACACAAACACAAAAACTAAACATCCATGCCCTGAGTGGGATTCAAACCCACGATCCCGGTTTCCAAGCGAGCGAAGACAGTACATGCCTTAGACCGCTCGGCTACCGTGACCGGCCCTTTTAAGAATTAGAGTACAAAATACACTGGTGCATAAACAAATAATATACTGGTATAATACAGCGATGCCGGTCACGGTAGCCTAGCTGTCTAAGGCATGTACTGCCTTAGCTCGCTTGGAAACCGGGATCGTGGGTTCGAATCCCACTCAGGGCATGGATGTTTAGATTCTGTGTTTGTGTACAGGTAGAGGCCTTGCGACGAGCTGATCACTCGTCCAAGGAGTCCTACCGAATGTGTAAGATCTAGAAAAACCGAAGTGAATGGAGAAGTTCATGGAGGTAGGCCTAGGCCCACTGGGGCTATAGTGGCACGGGAGAAAAATAATAATAATACAGCGATGTTGCCACCATATATGAATTTCAAGGAGTGAACATGTTTGGGAAGGAGTCAGGAAATAATCCAGAGGAGTTAGATCCGCCGACTAGGAGGCCACGTAGGTGGCTCTCGAAGTCCACTTGACTCGATATGTCGCGTTGAACCACTGACGAACATCTTCCCCATATTGAGCTGGAGCTCCATTGTGTTGAAACATACGCCTCACGGCTAGGAACTTCTATAAGCAGTCCTAGTAAAATTCTTTCCAGAAAATAAAAATAGCCTCCGATAGCCAGTATGTTAGTTGAGAGAGAGGGCCAATAATAATGTTCCTTATGATTTCAGTCCAAATGTTTAAGAAAATGCGGATTTGATGCCCTCCTTTGCACATATGAGGATTATCCCATTCACAAGGGCAACTGTTGTGAGAGCTGAATACACCCTCACGGATAAATCATGTTTCAACTGTCCACAGAATGTTATGTAATTAGAGATATACTCAAAATTGTGTCGGTAGAGCACGATAGTCTGGAACATTCGTGCGCTCCGCGAGTGATGGTATGGAAGCATTTGATGGTCATAAAGAATTTCGAAGGCCTTCCATTAGGATAGTCTCATTTCTCGTGCGATATCGTTTGAGCTGACCGCCTCTGTGGCCTAATGGTCAGAGTTCCTGGTTTGATTCCCGGCGCTACCGGATTTTCTGAAAAGTAGTGGGTCTGGAACAGGGTCCTCTCAGCCTCGTGAGGATAATTGGTGAGATATTTCAAGGAAATAGCGGCTCCAGTCTAGAAATTAACAATAATTAAAGAAAATTATAAACAAACCGTGGTTCTCTCCTTGTCTGCATTCCCCTGCTACCATATCTAGGAATTGCGTCTTAAAATTATGTTATTCTCAGTTCCGCAGTGTGAATTTCTAATTCCCTCTGTTCACTGCCACATAGAGAGCATGCCACTTGCCTTAGCTTTTGTATCTTCATCCTGTAATGACTCAATATAGGAGCACGTAACTCTCTCTCAGGCAGCAGAACACAAAGATTCTCTATTGCTATCGAAGTTCATTTGACACGATCCTGAACCTCCTACATCCACTTCCATCCTCACACTTCTTATCCCAAATGTTCGTGTAATATTACCCCATCATCAACTTTTCAGTCCTTCAAATAGCCACTTTACAAGCATCCAAAATATAATTTTTATGTATTTATTGCCCCACTTATAAAATGTGCCTGACAACTTTTTGTTTTAAGAGTATAAAGTAAATTAACATTTATTTCCAGGAGCACCCGAGTTCTACGACTGCAGTCTAAAAGTGATCACGATCAATACAGGACGTCGATGCAACCTTGAGTGCCAAAAGAAGGGCTTCCTCGGTGGATTTTGTAGCTTGAAAGGCTGTATATGTACAAACGGTAAAAAGAAGAAACATTGACGTACAGATATACAGACACATCAGTGCTGCTGAGAAATTGTCATACCTTAATAAACTGTGAAATGTATTTCGTGTGATGTTATTACCTGCATTCATATACACACATATATATTAATATATGCATGCATGAATGAATGTTTGCATAATATGTCAGTAAATATATGCGTTGTACACGTATATTCGTGCATATACGCATATATGCATGGGATATATCAGAGACACATATGTACATGGACAGATCATATGTACATATATATATAGGTCTGGAGACCATGGTGGGTGCTCAATAGCACCTCTTTGACCTATCCCTCATCCAGGTAGGGTGTCATCCAAATATGCCCTGACATCTAGTGATGTGGAGCACCATCTTGTTGTAGGTAAGAAATTAACACCCGGTAGATGCACTTCCTTGCCCTCGTGAACATGTGGATTAACAGGAGCCCAATACACACAATTGTGGCAGTTAATAGTACCGTTCATTTTGAACTGCGCCTCGTCAGACCAGATAACTTTCCTTGCAAACTCCTCATCCTCAACCCCTCAAAAAACCTTTCAGCCATTGTTACTGCTGTCTTCTGCTTGAAGCACGCACGCGGCACGACACTCACGTGACTCACGTGACCATCATCTGTTGAGAAAACATTACGCTACACTACCGTGCAAGAATTGTAACTACATGTCATTTTGTTCCAAAGATGCTGACTATCAAAGAGTGAGTAGATTTTTTGGACATTGTACAATGTCACTATTATGTCAGTTGAATTTATTGTAGTTTTCGCAAAATACTTTTACAAATACATTCACCTTCATAAACTACGTTAAAAATAAATAAAATCATCTATAAACCACACAGCCACTACCTTGTTTGTGGGTGGGTACGGCTGAAAATGACTTGAGAATTACTGCTGTTAGATTGTAAAATGAAAGGATGAAACAACAGTTTTGTGTACTAAAGTTTCCAGAAATCGGTTCTCCTGTAGAACTATTCTTCAAGTGTTACAGTGGAATCCCCATTGAATGTTCCTCGGTTTCAAGTTTATTTAATGGCACTTCCAGGAGTTCACACTGTTTTGTGTCAAATGGTAAGATGAGAGAAGAATGATGAGTTACAGAAAGAAAGTAGTCATGGCCTATTTAAAGGTAGTATTTTGACATTTGCCTGGAGGGACTCAGAACGACTACAGAAACCCCATCCAAGTTAGATGGTGTCCCAGATGAGACTTCAATTATACACCTCCCAAGTACAAGCAGGAAACATTACTGCCTGAGCCAACATGCTTGGTAATGGTCCTCAATTTAAGTTTTTCCTTCATTTAACAGCCAGTTTCAATGACACTAAGTCAATAAACCCAGTGTTAAATTTACTCCATTCATGATTTTCCTCAGTTTAGTGTCCAAATCCACTGCTTACCAAAGGACCCTTAAATTGGGGTTCCACTGTACTTGTTAACAGCTAGAGCTAGGATTTTTATGTAAATACATATTTTATTTCTTACTATGTAGATGATCAAGGAATAATAATCTCCACAAATTGCGGCATTAGCATTGCTACAGATGAATTTTATTCTACATATTTTTATATATTCTGGCATTTCCTACATATTTAATTGGATGTTACACAAAACTACATATTTCATGACATTTTTCTTTACTTGCATTTTAAACCGGAAAGTGCCTACACTGTTTTGTGAAAGGGGGTACTGGTAAAAAGGTGTCCACCAAGTAGCAGCTGGTGTTAAAAAAAATGTATTTTTGACATTCAACAGTGTCTGTCAGGTACTTAATGGAGATGATGTAGATTCCCCTGAAGACATTGCTCCTTAGAAAATTCCTCTGTTAAAATATGCGCCAGTGACATCTTGTGATGTAGAAAGGTCATTTTAAGCCTAAAAACACATTCTATCAGATAAAAGAAAATCAGTGATACCAGAAAACATGAAAAAGATTCTAATTGTGTATTGTGGAAACATCAATGATTGTACCAAAAGATTGTAAATAAAGGTAGCTTGCAAAAGTAAATATTACTTTTATGTGATGTTACATATTTTAATGAATCCACATATTTTACATTACCACATAATACAGAAGTTTTTGTTACGTAATTATGTACATATTTTACACAATGAAACTCCATAAAAATCCTAGCTCTAGTAATCATAATTTTTCATTACACCATAATTCCTGCTGTTTATATTTTCCTTCATGTGTCTGTTATCAGCTGTCGGTTTGCATTGTGTCAACAGGTCTATTGTCATGAAGGACTAACCTAGTCTATACAAATCATCTGACTGATGAAATGGAGGTCAGTAGCTGGACTAGAACTACCCATACCAATTTGTGCTCTTCATGGAAACTGAGCTTCTGAACCTGAGAAGAGCATTATGAATACTAGGAAAGAACGTTGTAAATTCAACGTCCATTGCCTATGCACAGCCAAGATATTGGTTGTCAATTGCAACCAAGTTGAGAACGAATCTTTCCTGCGTGAAATGATAAATTGACGCCACTTATTATTCAAAGTTTCTTTGTAATGTCTGAAAATCAACTTCACTGAATAGATCACAAAGAGAAACATCCAGTTACACTATGGACAATTATCTGTGAATGATGCAGATGATCTTGAAGCAATATCAGCATATTCCCGATTCCCAGGACTGCAAAGTTTGCTCATTATATCTGTAGTTGCCCTCTTCCTGAAATTATTAAGAATTAAAGATTTAAAACATTCCTGGCTAAACAAATTTACTCGTACATTGTGAATAATCTTAGAAAACTGATTTGTGTACCTCAAAACAATGGAAGTAATGCAATACACAGAAATTCTGTTTCAAATGAATCATAGTTTGCAAATTAAGGAAACTGACACTTCAGAGGTACATCTCACCCTACAAGTGTTGACATATGGTAATTCAGAAGGGGAGAAAGTGACAGGAAGCAGTAGCTTTGTTGAGGAACCTCTCACCAGAACTACACATTTTACTCTGCAAAATGCCAGGAAGCAGACTGACCTGTGCATTGCTTGACCAAGTGGTCTCATCCATGTTCATGACTACCAAAAAAAAGAGTGGAATATTTTCCCTGGCTGCATGCCATCACTCATAGTGTGAGCTCTGTATCTATTCTGGGTCATAAAGCAGAATCTTCTGGTAGGAAACATCATATACTATAGCAGATATTTTGGAGGAAAACACTGCATCCCAGGGTTGATGAATGCAACATACAAGAAAACAGCAAGCAAAATTCTCCAAAGTATCAATAAAGATCTACCAGATTACTTGGCATCATACCATAAGATAGCACCCTTCATAGTCTCCACCATGAGAACCTCAAATCACAGAAGTAGAATGTGATTTTAGAATCATAAAAAGGCTATAACAGTTTTAATCTTCTACCATATAGCAGAGGATGATTCACATTAAGGAAGTAACAGAATCCAGTACAATAATTAAATAAATGCTTATATGACAAAAACAATACAGTACTTACTCTACAGATCAATTAAATGAATTATTGAAGAAAATCCATCAATTGACTCTCTCCACTCCTCTTACGCCTTGGTAATCCCTAATTGTTATCATAAGACTTACACTCCTTAACTGACCAGCATGAAAGATATTTATAGCAACACTAAAATATTGTTTAAAAATGGAGCCAAATTAAATAATGTTAATTAATTCTCATCTCTCAAACTCAGCAAAAGGGACATAAATGTTATATTTATAAATAATATTAATGGCATAATAAATGTTTAAATAAACTGAAGTAAGCCTTAGCTGCAGAAGATCATTCTTGAAAAATGAGGATCTTCAGGGCTTTAATCATATTCCACATATTTAGCTTTGTTTCAATATAACTTCAAAATAATTAGGCTATCAACTACTGGTTTGTCTTTTTTTCAAGAGTCTGAAGGCAGCTAAACTCACCCTCTTGTTGCAACATCCATCTCTTCAACCTGAATATTTGAAACGTAGAGATGATCATTGCACCAAAAGAAGCAGAGTGAGCGTGGCTGCAGAACATCCATGTCATACTCCCAATAAAACTCCACCTTGCGGACCTTTCCTACATCAGTACTATGTGTCACCACAAAGCTGCGTGACTGCCCATGTTGCAGCTTAACATAACCACTGGATAAATGAGTTGAATGGTGTTAGTTCTAATTCACAGTCTAGAGTATCACTTATTGCATAATAGGTTAAGTGTGCTTAAGCATTGTGCAATGAAAGCATAAAAGGGGTTACACAGCTCAATACACTATATATACAGGGCATAACTGAGAGGTACAGGCAAATTCTGGGGGCAAGTTCAACATACCAAAATAAAGAAAAGTGTCCATATCAACATTTGATTTGAAACATTTAATTTGGGAGTTATAGCTGAAAGAGTATATTTATAATAAGTGCTCAAAATATACTCCATGGTATTCAATACACAACTTGACATGTCTCATCATGGACGTCATCTGTTAAAAGATGTCTGGAATATTTAAGCTGGTATCTGTGGATTGGGGTAGAGAGAGAGAGAGAGCTGTCCAAGAGCATGTCCTAGATCATGTTGAAAGGGATGAAGGTGTCAGCATCAGACAAGTGGGGGAAGAGTTCAATGTTTCGCACATAACTACCTGAAGGGTGCTGCATGAACAGCTGCTTTATCCTTACATTTACAACGAGTGGTTGGTCTCATGCCTGCTCATGTAATCCATTCTAGACACCAGCAGCAGTTCAGAATTAATATGTGGGCAGGGATTCTTGGTGATTATTTGGTAGGCCCACACGTTCTGCCATATCAGCTTACAGGCAACCATTAACAAAATTTCTGTTCATATGAACTGCCAAAGCTACTGGAAGGTGTACAACTAGTAGCCAGAACACGAATGGCACACTTTAGCGATGCTGTGTGAGTTATTCTCAAGGATATTCTCATGTCAATTGTATATATAGAGCAGGACCCACTGCATGGCCTCCATGTGTGTCAGATTTGAATCCTCTGGAATTTTACCTGTGGGAACACCTAAAACTCTTGTGCACAGCCCCTGTTGACAAAGAATATGTACTTCACAATCACATTGTGGATGCCTCCCAGACTACCTGCAACTACCTTAGCACCTTTGAATGTTTGTGGCAGTCCATTATGAAAATATGTTGAGACATATATGGAATCTCATTGAGGATATTTTGAGCACTTATTATAAATGTACTGTTTCAGTCATAACTAACAAATTAAATGTTTCTGGACACATGTTGATATTGATATTTTTTTAGTATGTGAAACTTCTAATCAAAGTTATTCCACACCTTTCAGTTACATCCTGAACGTTGCTATCCAAAATGAGACATAGGTTATAAAGAATTTTTAGTGTACCAGTATTTCCACAGAATGATTGTTATTACACTCAGTACTTAATGTGAAACCAAAACCTAAATAAGAGACATTTACATTTTTCATATGGAAGAACTTCGTCTTATATGGTAGTTGTGGGTTAAAAATGTAGTCCTGGTTCTTATGAAATAAGACTGAAAAAGTATACAATGTGCATTTAATAGGCACATTCAGCAGAAGGAATTATAAGTGGCACATTAAACCGTGTTAAACTATTTGTAGCAATAAGCCCAAAAAATTATTTATATGCCTATGTAAAATTATATTTCAATTAAATATGTTATATACAAAGTATTTATATAGGTCTATATGTACGAGGGGGTACCCAAAAGAAACCGAACTTATTTTTTTTAAACTTATTTATTCAAATTTTAACCACAAACCTTCAATCCCCTTCAGAGTACTCTCCACTTACACTAATACACTTTTCTAGTCTTTTATTCCATTTTCAAAACATTGTCAAAATTCAACTTTTGAGATGCTTGACAGCGCCTCCGTCGTTTTTTCCTTCACCTCAGCAACATCAGCAAAACGCTTTCCTTTCATGTCTCTTTTCATTCGAGGAAAAAAAAAAAAGTCGCACGGGGCAAGGTCGGGTGAGTATGGAGGGTGAGGAACAGGGGTCATACCATTTTTGGTCAAGAATTGTCGTACAGACAGGGCTGTGTGAGCAGGGGCATTGTCATGATGGAAAAACCAGTCACCCGACTGCCACAAATCTGGCCGCTGAGCTCCAAGTCACTCCCGACAGCTCCACAATTTCCTCAATGGTCCGTTGTCGATCTTCCTTGATGATTTCACGAATTTTTTCAACATTTTCATGTGTTCGGGCTGTGGAAGGACGACCAGAACGAGGTTTGTCATCAATTGACATTTCACCATTTTTGAAACGGGAAAACCACTCAAACACTTGAGTTTTCCCCATAGCATCGTCCTTGTACGCCGTGTTTAATATTTCAAGAGTTTCTGTTCCACTTTTCCCGAGCAAAAAGCAGAATTTCACCGCCGCACGCTGTTCACGAAAATCAGCCATTGCAAAAACGACGATCACACAAAACAGTTGTCACTATAAACTCTGCTGAAACTAGTCCTTACCTTCTGAAGCAACGGTAGTCGGCTTATCGACTCAGGAATGTTAGCTCTATGCGCTCATAGCGACAAAACGCGGTACTACAAAAGCTCTGCCCACAAAAAAATTAGTTCGGTTTCTTTTGGGTACCCCATCGTATATCTGTAAATTCAGGTTGGAAGAAACTGTTTAAACAATATCGATAACAAGAGAATGGTAATATTTGCATGTACAGAATATCTGTCATGATTACTGAATACACAAGTTAGGGCAGGAATGATAATATAAATCTTGTTTAATTTTCTCAAAATATTCTAAATTATTTATGGTAAATAGTATACATAACTTTAGAGTGAGCAATTGGTATGAATATAGGACAATGAAAATGTTATGTGGTAAAAGTTCAGTAATAAAATTGATTAGCTTTAATCATATACTTACATATTCACCATAACAAAACAAAATATTTCTAATATTTAAGCAACTTTACTAGAAATCATTATTCATAATCTATTTATTTTACTTATCCATTTGAATAAATTCCAGGTTATCAAGAAAGCCAATCTATATCATCTTTCACACATTTAACCATGTGCCTTGCCTCAATAAGAAACCAAATTTAGTACAAGTACCACCATAGACTTTAAACAAAATCTAGACTATAAAACAAATGGCTCTAAATCACCCATAACACTATCACATTACTTAATACACCATGAAACTTATCTTAGTAAAACTACTTCTGTGAACCTTAAAAATCTTCATTAAAATGTGAAAATCTGTCTGCACAAACAGATCATGTTCTTACAATAAAATGGTGTGATGAGAGCGATGTTTTCTTGCTCAGCACTGTTCATGATGGCAGGACAATTGGCATGCCAGAATCAAGGGAGCCAAAAAATTACCCTTGGTAGTAACAGATTACAATTAACATAAAATCAATGTAGAAGAATTCAACCAACTGCCCACACATTATTCTCTTCAGTGAAAGTCAGTGGCATAGTGGAAATAAATCATCTTCCTTTCCTTTTGGCTTTCTCTTACAAATACTCGTATTTTACACAGGAAGACAAGCAGACAGAATTTCTGGCCTTAGAGTTTTATTGTGGAAGTAGCAGAATATGTACTCAGTAATATCAGTACTGACATTAGAGAACAGTCATATGCAAATTCTTCAAGAAGACTTGCAGACAGAGGACATTATCCATACATAAATCCAATAATGGACTCAATGAGGCAGAGCACAGCATACATGCAAGATGTCAATTGACAAAGAAAACACAGCGCTTTAAAGGCTGTAGGAAAGGTCTCTGTTTGTACTGTCAGAAGCATTATATCAGTCTGCATTTGGAGGGTGGTTTTCAGTTCTACCACTTGAAAGGGAATAACTGGAAATAAGTGATATTTTTTAATAAGGGTGACAACTGTCCCCAATAATTACTGTGAAAACATTTCTTACTGCATGTGTATACAGGGTGTCCCAGGAGGAATGTGCCAAACTTCGGGAGGGTGTTCCTTATGTTAAAGTATGCCGATATAACCCAAAACACCTATGTCCAAAGTTGAACGGTTACGGAGATAATGGCCCGAGAAGTGTCAAACTTTGACCGGGGTTACACACTTGTTGATTACAAAATACATATTAAAACTGGCAGGAATATGTGGATTCTGTAATGTTAATAATGTACGTAACATCAAACCAACTTGTGAGTGACGGAAAGCCATAAAATTGAAGTACAAAATACTCGCTCGCCATGTCATAATTGTCCTTAGGTTTCCAAGCAGTATACATAACACATGACTGGCGAGCGATGACGTAACGTGCTGACTGCGCGTTCTGGTATGAGCCAACTACATAAGCACGGCTAGGGAGTATCATCGCACTCAAGGACAAACATAGATAAGGGCTCTCAGCTGAGAGGTACAGCGAGGTACAGTGCTTGGACCTGCCAGAAGACCACACTTTTCTTGGGCCATTATCTCCGTAACCGTTCAACTTTGGACATAGGTGTTTTGGGTTATATTGGCATACTTTAACATAAGGAACACCCTCCCGAAGTTTGGCACATTCCTCCTGGGACACCCTGTATACAATAACACTGAATGTACCAATGGAGATGTTGGCATGTCAGTGAGGAATCAATTTTTTCATCATCAGTATAGTTCCACACTTGAATGTGAGTACCTTTATCTTTTTTTCTGCATGTCGATGCAGCATCTTCCTTATGTGTGTAAAAATTTAAAAATGTATATGTCAGAACTGTCAAAATTATGAATTAATTTTTGTATTCTGTTAAACCCTCCAGCACACAAAAACGGGATAGTTAAATGATACCAGCTACAAAGTGTTAAATACCAAGTTTAAGTGTATCAGGCAAAGAGCATATATTTCAGTTTACTACACTTTGTTCCTGTGGTGACAGCTGTTAAGCCACTTTTATGACTCTCCTTACCTAGGCGTGAGATCCAGGTTTCGAATAACCCCTGTTTCACTATGTAGAGATATTCTCATGAAGCCTTGAACCCAGTTTTCAGCTCGTGGTGGTTTTGCCAAATCCACTGTCACTTTGTAATGACGACCTAGAAAAATAAAGAGAGAAAAATACCAATTATTTTAATAAGAGTAACAAATCATGATCTGAAAATCAGTCTAACCTAGAGCGACTTGACACCTTGAAGTTTCTGGGAAACTTGAATTTATATGTCGTGTCTTCTGCCTCATGCTTCTCAGGAAGGCCATCTTTCCTGGAATTTAATTTGTGATTGTGTTAAATTTGAACATAAATCAAAACTACATAATTTCGGATTTGTGTGCCCACTGAATTCATAATCACACACTTTCTTTTAGATTCTTGCTTCATATCTTTATATTATTTAGTTATTATTTATTTAACCCACAGAAACATGAATTTTATTTATAAAGTATTTAAAAATTCAGTTTGAACCTAGCAGAAAAATTATTGTGTCTCTGTTAAAAAAAGACTGATTAATGCTATGTCCAAAAATAATTTCTGATTATTCTCAAGATAATATAAAACACATAAATGGAATGAGGAGGAGAGAAACAAAGTTTCAAATATTAACCCTACAACCCAGGATATGCTTTTCAGTACTGTGCCACTACAAAGTCTCTATGTGCACACGTACACTGTCTGCAGCACCTTAGAAATAGTTTTACAGTCGCTCCACGTTGACTGATATTAAAAATATTGACACATGTTGGGTATATGTCACGCGACAAGTAACTTCACGCCGTATTTGATATAGTGAATATATTGCACATTCGCTCTTAAAATCACACAACTCACAATTTCCTGAGTACTGCCATCTGCAGTATCACACTTACTGCTTACATTCAACTGTCTTTGGTGACTGCTACATTTTAACTGTTTTAGGCGGCTGCTATATTTCAACTGTCTTCAACTGACTCCTTAGGCAGTGCAGTTCTCTTATAAACCTTCAGCCAGACAATGGAAAGTGCCTCGCTTCTCTGTTGCCATGTTGCCTGTTTACAGTTGTTGCTGGGCAACGCTGTCTAGAGTTGTTTCCTGCTGTGCAGTAACCGCGGCATCCCCCGCCATGTCACTGCGGCAATGATTGCCTGACACCCGCTCTTCTANCCCCCGGGGGGGGGGGGGGGGTGGAGTGTTGACTGTCCTGTTACCGCAGTAGCGACAGCGCTCCGATATCGCCATGTCACCGCTGGTGGCGGAGGGGATGTCCTCCATAGCGCAGTACGTCACAATATATTAATTCCATCATGTTCTTCAGGACACGATGCTTCCTGTCATCTACCATACGATGTAGGAATTGCTATATACAGGTAGGAAATGCTTATTTTTCAATTAACAGCTTTTATGCTTGTCAGTCAACAAACATGGCAGCTTCCTTTGGTACTAAACGGGTTTCAGACATGGTAATGAGGAAAATGAAGTAAGTAAAATGAAGCTTGTCTTATTATTTATTTTTCCTTAAAAGTGTATTTAATTTTGCATTGTTCAATGTTTGCCCTTTATTTAAGAATTGTCCCTCTGCTAGATGCGCAGCAGCTGCTAATGTTGTCTGCAGGGAGGTTGACGTATTCGGAGCCAGGAATGTTCTACCCAAACAAATTTTAAATACAGTATAACTGTTAGTATTTTTATTATTTGCATGTTCAGTAAAGCAAAATGAATTACGTAATTTTCCTCAGAAAATCTATACTATTCAATTCTTAATTAAATATTAATGTTTCATTCCTCTATTCATAATAGCACTTAGTTTAATGATAATGGAATTATTATTACTGTTATAATTATCACTTATTTGTTTGTTTACTTTTACTTTTATTCATTATTATTTCTTCCAATTACTTAACTGTAATTTGTATTTGACTTTTAATAAGTTTGTACGTAATGCAATTCAGTCATCTACACTGTGCTGAGTCTGTAATAGGCCTTGCGGCTGTTGACTCGGCACATTAATAATAAAGAATTAAATTAAATTTTGTTTGGAAGTTTATAAAACATGTTCACTTTTAACAGGAAGTAAAGCAGGTGCTACACAGAAATTTATTTCTTGAAATGGCAGTGAAGTGGTGATTTAAGAAATGGCCTGAGAAGTTAAAGCATACGGTATGTACAGTTAACCACCATGCTGTAAATGAAGCAATTTTGAACTGCATGGGTTATACAGTATTGAGTGGCAGGATAGTTAAGAAGTGGGGAGGATATGAAAGGAAGCAGTCAGTATATCTTAAGGTACTATAGCAGCTTTCACTTGCAAGAACTTAGGAAATTAATACAAAATCTCAGTCTGAATAACTGATGGCATCTAGGAAAATCAAAGCCAAGGTCTCCAGAATAAAATGTAATTCTAATCATTGACAGCTGTCCTCTTTGCTTTAAAACATTCTTTACTTTATGAACACACACAGGGCTTACTAGTATAGGTGACTTTCATTCTACATGGGGTTGCATTCCAGAAAATTGCTGCATATATAAAAATATGTAAAATGGGAATCAGACTGGACAAACACTAAGCACTGTGGAAAAGGAGTAGGTTGTGATATGACTGAGCCAGAATGGCAAGGAAAGTCAGAAAAACTGCTCACACAAGTAACTGAGCATGTGTGGCAGCATCTACTGTGGCCAGGGAATTATAATAAATAAAACTGCTGAGATGATAGTAATGTGTGTAGCAAGAGCGACCAGTACGGAACACTGATGTCAAATTCCTTAAAGCATGTTTCTTTCAAGAATACTAAAGGTTATTGGCAGACCAGACCATGAGGTAGATTATTCTACATTAATGTAGTCATGATGAGAATTCATGTTATGCATAAATTAAATATACTTACGGCAGAATGGAAAATCTTTTCCTGTAGTGATGAAATATTTTCCTCCAGGAGTGAGTTCACCATTCTCAAGGGCATTATTTAGAGTTTCATTTGCTCTCAATCCCATCAGTGCACACTCACTGACATTAGAACTATGACAGGAGAAACAGCGACCCTGTAATATACAATGTAGTTAAACAGTGAACTGAATCTCTCCTGTCTTAGGAGGTCCATTGATGAAACTAAAACGATTTCCTGTACTGAATTCTTTTTACTTTTTCAGATTTGATGCATGAAACGTATATTGTGACATGACGGCTAAAACTGGAATAGTGGAATGAGAAGAGGCAGTTGTTAGGCAACAACGCAGTAAACATAATTCCATGGCAACAGATAATGATGTAACAGCAGTGGACACAGTGTTTTCTATGCGGTCTTTTCCAAGGCTACATAGAAAGGGCAAACAGTAACTGCTACATAGAAATGACTAGTGAACACACTTTTTGTATGCTTGTTTTAGTGATGTACAGAGTGTGCAAATCAGTGAGGCTGTTGTAGTTATTTGTAGTTACAGGTTAAAAGCATTTAACAAATCAAATTATCAAACCACACCCCAAGCAGCTTCTGTAGTCTAGAGGTAACATTCCCACCTCATGACTCGTGGTACCCGGGTTCAAAAACCCGGCGGAGGTCGTCAAATTTTTAAGGGCGGAAAAATTCAGGGAACAAGTCCTCTGGGAGGGACTTTAAGCTGTGCGTCCTGTGTCATAGCTTTACAGCACATAAAAGAACCTCATATCTCCAAAGGAGGTCACTGAGCCAAATTCAAGGACGTTTCCCGCCAAACAATAGTCTCTAATGCCTCTGATAAATGGGGAAAGCATTATAGACACCATCAAGCCAGTGAGGCCGAACTCACTGGCTCGGCGGGACTGATGGTACACACCAATATCGGTAGGGTATAGAGACTGGTAGAATATCATAGAGGGAAGCACAATGGACCAATACTGGTCTAAGTGCATGGGGAAACCTACCCTCTCCAATAATTAACTAAACCACACCCATGTCTAGTTAGTTACACATTTCGCTTAGTGGGGGGTGGAGTCCAATTGGGTCCACTCAGCACGGCGGCCACTGATTGGCCTATTGTAGCATGTCCCGGGTGATTATGATGATGGAGAATTTGGTGGAATGAAGATTGGCAGGGGAAACCGAAGTACTCAGAGAAAACCCGCCCCAGTGCCACTTTGTCCACCACAAATCCAACTTAACCAGACCCGGGATCGAACCCGGGCCGCCGCAGTGGGAAACCAGCGACTAACCGCTTGAGCTATGGTGCGGCCTTTAGTTACACATGACAGTATAAAGCTTTAGTTTTTGGTGAAAAAGAAAATTTAAGGCAAACGATTCTGAAAATGTTGTTGCACATCACTTTCATAACTTTTAAAAATGTGTTATTAGTCATTATCCTCATACCATGTTTGTTTTATAGTTCCAATTTTTAGAGATGCCAATATAAACACATTTGCAATGGAAGCAACACCAATCTTACTACATATATTTTACAAGATATTAGATGTTTGAACACTATGTATAATATTTTTTTAAGTTTGTTATCCAAAAAATGGAAAAGAACAACATTCTAACAACATGAATTAATATATATATGCTAATTTACTTTATTCTATTTTATCAGGCTTTTGGACCACTGGCCAAACATTTCCATTGTTCTGCTTTTGATTTAAAAAACATCACAAGGCCTCTACCCACAAAGGATAACACAAACACATAATTAGATGTGTACATGCATGCCTGGGTGGTATTCAAAACCACAATCCAAGTGTTCAAATAATAAAAAAATTGCATATGCTTTAAACAGCATGGTCACTGTGATTGGCTGTACAAAAATATTAATTAATTTGGAATACATATGATTTTAACTTGGTTTTTTCAATTGCAAAACAATCACATTTTGTATCAACTACTTGCCTGCAGGAAGTGCTGATAAGAGTCACAATGATGAGCCACATAAGGGCACTTGGAATTGATGGAATCTGTGAAGAGTTTGATGGCTCGGATATGATTACAAGCAACAAGTACTCTACTAGCCTCTTCAATGCCATCCCGTATCAGTGTGAGTGGCAATGGAGTTTCAGTCAGATCACAACCAGGTTGCTCTTTGCCATTATTTGGATAGAAGTCAACATGGCCACATGGCTGCCGCATTCCATAACCTGTGGCACAATTCCAAATGAATAACAAAAACTGGGTACAAAAATGATAACCTCATACTGTAGACTAAAACAATGCTTGTAAAGTTGTTCACTTATCTGTAAACTGCAAAGACTTGGTACATACATTCCTGTAATTGACTACAACAGTGAAATGCACACTGAAAATTCAACACATAATTTTTAGAGTTCTCATCTCTAGTTACATTTTTATAAATATCCCTTCCATTGATACATTCTTACAAGCTAACAGACACTTGGGGGAAACTTCTAAATGATGATTTCACTGAATATGTATGCTGTGAACCTGAGAAATTCTGGAAAGAGTGTGTAAGAGAATAAGCTAATAACAATCTAGATGTATCTCTTCTTTGGCAATTAAGCCTGACTGAAACATTGCCATTTCTTGCTGATAACTTCTTGCCCTGTCATAAATAATTGAGAGTAGCTTTTCACTTGGTATTCAAGGAAACAGCACCATAATAAACTTAAAACTTAACAAATTACATTGCTATGTGACACAAGCTTGGAGAAGGAGCATATGCACACATATTTCCTTTGTGACACTTCTTGACTTCATCACTCCTTGTCAGTTTCTTGATTCTTCGTGAACTACACAGCACCAGCTCATGGCTGGGATGTTTGTTAACCTGCATGAAGTTTCCAGAATGGCCTTGCCTGCTTCAATTTTTTTGAAGGCCTTGAAAGATATAATTGAGTCTGGCCGTGAGCTTGAAAGAAGTGTATAGTGATCATGTGTGCAGCCACAGATATGAAACAGTGGGTATGGTTAGTTGAGAAGTTGGTTCAGTGCTGGCAGTTCATACAAATAAGAAGAAGACAGTGCAGTGACATATAGCGACATAATACTGAATAAAACAAAATGTCATTAAGTTCTTAAGTGGCTACTAGTAGTGGAACATTCAATGTTTAGAAACAATGCAAATATTACAGTATTTTTATGTGTTCTCCATCTGCCACTAAGCTACTGCTCATATACTGTATGCTCTAAACCTTCTTGCCTTCTTCAGTGACTATTCATTTAAATGTTAATGAAATGTTAAAATTACTTATATATTCTCCAGCTCCTCTATACACACTTACCCTAACCCTTCTTCCATGCACCCCTCTGCTGTTTCCATTCACTTATCTCTAAAAATGTATGGAGTGCAATTAAGAACATAAAACCATTCATATTTTAATGTCAACCCCATGGTCTGTTGTGCACCTCAATTTATTCAAACAAGCCTCCAGAAACCAAATCTTGGCAAAGCAACAGTTGTAGCCATAGCAGATGAAATGCTGCTACCTAATTTCAGCAGAACTGGGTCATAATCATGTCCGATTTGGAGGAAATGCCAGTACCAAAGTTCATGTCATGTTAGTTTATGCATTTAGTTAGGTTAATATGTTGACAGACATAATTCGGTTGACTTCCATTTAAAAGAATTACTTAGCCAAACAACTCTATTTTACCCTCTTTGTCCCTCTATTAATCCACCACAAACTCCTTCTTTATTCTTTAGCTTCCCTTTGTTAAAACATGACTGTACAGAAGAGGTCTCACAGTTCATGTTTCTGCCTCATACAAGCAAGCATATTCATCTTTATGAGCGATACGGTTTTCTCCACATCATCCAGACTGACTCTGGGGCCCACACAGACTCCTGTCCAAAGGGTACCAGGGGCTCTTTCCCCATGTGTAAAGTAGCCGGAGCATGAAGCTGAGCACTGACTTGTCCTATATCATGTAACAATGATCTATAGAGACGAAATAAATAAATATATACATACATACATACACTCATCTCCAACTAGTGCTGAGGTCAACAAAATATGGATTTATATATCCACTCCTCCATACACCTTCATGGTATAGTGCTTTATTAGTTAAGCACAGGGACAACTTCACCTTACGGTTTGTAAGAGACCTGTATTACCTACCTCCCATACAAGCTTCCTTCATATTATTTTCATTGAAAAACAAGAAGTAGAGCGAAAAGAGTGATATGTACATGTAGCACAAAAGATGTGACTGGTGTCATCGACAAAATCTAACGTGATATTTTACTTTACTTGCATTTTGTGTTAAGCTTTCCCAGTCCATTTATTTCATGATGAGGACATGTGAATATGAGGCAAAAAATGGAGAATATTCATCACAATTAATGCAAGAAGTTTCAATTGGTTATTTGACATGAAGTGAGGAGCACATCTAGTTATTATTAACAATGCAGAAGCAAAAATTACTAAATAATTCCAGTCAGCTGTTCTGAATTTTGGAATAGGCATTTTTGTCTGTACATTTCTCATCTAAAGCTGGTACATAAATACTCAGCTCTCTGGTATAGAAATCAATTAACTCTAAAAAATTAATAACTGTAACTGAAATAAAACCTATTACTCACTCACTAATTCATGGGGCTGAGCTCTTCTTGGTAAGCCAAAAATTGTGCAGCCACTCCAGATATTCCCAGCATTTTATGGAGCCCAAAGGTTCATTATCATGTTCACAACAGCCCTCCACTGGTCCCTATCCTGAGCCAGACTGATCCAATCCATACCATCCATCTAAGTTCCATTTCAATATTGTCCACTCACCTATGTCTTGGTCTTGCTAGTGGTCTATTTCCTTCTGGCTTTCCCAGCAATATCCTATACGCATTCCTCGTCTCCCCCATTCGTGCTACATGACCTGCCCACCTCATCCTCCTTGACTTGATCATTCTAATTATACTTGGACAAGAGTACAAGTTATGAAGCTCCTCATTATGCAGTTTTCTCCAACCTCCTGCGACTTCATCTCTCTTCAGTCCAAATATTCACCTCAACACCCTGTTCTCAAACACCCTCAGTCTATGTTCCTCCCTTAATGTCAGAGACCAAGTTTCACACCCATACAGAACCACAGGCAAAATTATAATTTTGTATATTCTAATTGTTATGTTTTTAGACAGCAGATGAGAAGACAAAAGGCTCTGGACTGAATGGTAGCAAGCATTACACAAGTTCAGTCTCCTCTTAATTTCTTCCTGAACCAGGTTTTGATTTGTTATAGTCGTTCCCAAATATCTGAACTGTGCCACATTTTCAGAACATATGTTACCTATCT